TGGCATGCTTGAGAGCTACCTATATTAGTTTAAGTCCATCTTTGCACGATGTTGCATGCTTGTCTCGCATATTGTCACATCCTTGTTCCATTTTACATGATTGTTGCATGCTATACATATTCACATGTTCATGTTGCATACTGTCATTTTTATGACTTTCGAGTTCTGTCAAAGAAGGGCAACTGTAGACACCCCATTTTTGACCGTCCTCAAGACTTGAACGTCATCGTTTGAACACTCTGTGATCATCCTTGTTCGCGTTCGTGTTTCTGCAGGAAGATTTGGCCGGCCGGCCATCTCCAGTGCCGACCGGTCATCCATCAGTGGCCGATGGCTTAACCAGTAGCCCATGAGCATTCCCCATGGCCGGTGGTCATTCCTTCCAGCCGGTGGTGTTCCACAGTGTGCAGAGAGCATATCCTGGGACTTGTACAATTTTCAGAGGAGCAGAGCAGGGAAAACAGAGGTAACTTATGCATGGTGGCGGATTTCCGAGCAGAACCGAGCACGCATTGCATTGGACCCTCTTCCCGAAGCTGATTTTATTGCTTAATTAGCTTAGTTAATTTGCTTAGCTAGTGAATTGTCTGTAATAATTAATTAGCTTGATAGTTAGTTAATTGTATTATTCTTTTGGTCCCTCCGAGCGAGGGCTAATTTGTAATAAGTGTGGGTGCGTGTGTGCATGTCTTCCAACCCCCACTTCTTTCTCCCTTTTACTTACCCGCTTTGATGGTTAGTATTAGGACACGTTTAATTTAGCATACCTTATACAATGCATGCGTGCATTCATACATTTGTCTTACATGCACCGGGCTCGGCGCATCATTCTAACTGCATTTGTACTTCAATTCCAAGTTGAATACGTGTTAGTTGTATCATCATCATATGCCATCTTAGAATAGCCGAGCCTGTCTAGATTGCATCTTTGCATGTGTTGCACTAGCCATTTTTAACATGAACTAGGATCATGCATGTGATTACTAACTAGTTTTTGTTTTGGCTCGGAGTACGATGTAAGTATTTATGCTTTAGCATCCTTGCATGCGTGTGAGTGTTGCCATGATAGCATGATTACCAAGAAGCTAGCTGCTTATGTGATATAACTACTTGAATGCCTGTGGGTGGAGGTTGAATTACCTAAATTGGAATAATGCATTAAAACTGTGAGTTTTAAGCCCACTAAATAGTGGCAAAATCATCTTTTCTAAAGCTCACTTGAGGGTGACAAAACCTGCATTTTAGCCTACTTGCGAGTAGCAAACCATTTTCAAAACAAGTATGAAATGTTTTGTTCCAATTTGGGCAATTTGGTCTATACTTGTTTGCTGTGCACATAACATAGTAATTCTAGGCTAATAACCGGAATAAGAACACATAACGTTTTCAAAAGCGGATATCACGGTTAGTAGAGGCCGATCTTCGGATCGGGCGAGAGGGGGTGCTCATAGTTGACCTTCCCCAATTGTACCCAAGCTCCCGAGCCGAAGCAACTTTGGTAATGACGGACACATGGCCTTTGGCACCGAGTCAGGGTTTCCTAAATTCACCCATAAAAATATTTAGGTGGCGACTCTGTATCTGGCAAAGCAGTCCATGTTTGGCACTTCTTTCAAAAATCTGTTTTCTCAAAACGATTTGCCGGATTTGGACTCTTTGGTTCAGATTTAGAACCGTGACATGAATTAAGTCCGAACTGTAGCGAGGCCCACGGGCGCGTCTACACCAACCCCATAGCTTCTGGTGATAGAGAGTGAGGGCGTCCGCCGCTGGTTCTGGCTACCTGAGCAACGGGGTTGGGTGCGCTCAATGTGGTCACCCACTCCAACAACACCATTCCCTTTGACTTGCGACTTTAGCGCCTTTATCTTTGCCGCTATCCTTCGAATGATGGCGTCTTTATCTCTCAACTTATGCTCCAGGCGGTGAGCGTGCGATTCTCTTCGCCGCCGGTGTCCGTCGGGGCTTCGCGAGTGATCGGTACTCCTTGTGCGCTTGTCTCGCGTATCTCTAGGGAGTCTTCTAGGAGAGGCCTCCAAACCAGCCATGGCAGAGATGACAGGAAGACCATCTCTTCTCCGGACGGACTCTGGAGTGATACTGTCGATGGTGATCAACGGTACGTCGTCGTTGTTCTCCATGGAAGATGATCGGAGGAGCTTCAAGGACAAGTTTTTGTCTGTTGGAGAAAGCTTTCCACAGATTTCACCAATTGTATGAAATCCAAATATCCGACGTTACCTGTACTTATTGTACCCAAGCTATGGTTCGCTCCGATCGACCTGAGAACACAATGAGGGTGAGCTACCCCGCGGTATGTTGCCGGAAAACCCCTCCGACGATCAAGTTAGTATACTTAGAGGGAGAGGGAGAAAGAGAGAGAGAGAGAGAAGGGAAGAGACAAAGTGGTAGGTGAGTTCTGATTTTAGGATCTTCCAGACCTGAGTTTGGGGGTGCAGCTCCATTTATATAACTTTTGCACGCTTCTGCGTCCATTCACTTTTGGACGCATGAACTTGCTCTCCTCTCCCATTTCCCCACATGTTAGCGCAAATAAAACTAAACACCACCTAACAAAACCGCTAAATGGCTTCAACGCGTACGGACAGTGCAATCTCATTCCTTCAGTCTCGTGGCGCCGCATAGCACTCTTGACCGATATACTCTCAATACGAAACCATGCCATCACACAACAACCGAGCTACTTGTCCAATTTCTTTGACAACTCTGTACCATGGCTCAGCCAAACTCCTTGGCTACAACCGAGTGTAAGCTTGGTTCATCACGTCGGAAGGACTAATGCAGCCCAACTCTAAATAGTGCATATCTCCCCGGACCAATAATCCACAACTATTCTCGCACAACCAGAATAAGACCTCGATTTAACACGCACTTAAAGACAGGCTGAGCAGAAGCCCTTGACTCCAGCCCAACTAGCTCTACCCAATGTTTCGGCTGCAAACCTCCCTCTCATGTAACAAAAAATGATTGTTCAAATAACAAATATAGTAACAAATAACCAATGATATGTGAACATTCACATCTTGCAAAATATATAATTATGCCTATATCTATATTCCAATACTTATTTCTCAGATTTTTAAACAATGTGAAATGTGAATATTCACACTGATTGACAAAAAAATAGAAATAATGGCAGTAATAGAATTAGAAATAAATAATAAAAAAAAACTCAATCACTCTAAAAAAAAAAAAATCACTCACATTCTCATATTCATCATCATCTTATCATTATCACTATCATTAAAAATCTATGGAATTTCACCATTTCACCAATCCAAATCAAACGAAACCCACTTTTGTGTTTGTAACAAAAAGGTGTTTTGAGGAAATGGTAAAAAGCTGATTTTTAACTTTTTACCAAGGTTTTTGACTTTTTTGGAAAGTGATTTGGAAAGTTGGTAAAAAATTACTTTTTTGCTTTTTTGTATAATATTTATTTATGGTGTCACATCACATTAAAATGACCAAAATATCCCACCAAACTTAGGAAATTTACTTTTTAACCCATGTGGTTGTTTTGAACAATTATGTAATTTCATAGAGGACAATTACGTAAATTCACCACTTGCGTTTTTGTCTCTTCCCAAATCAACCTGCTTGTTTTTTTTATGCTACTTGTTGCTTTTTTGGAATGCTACAAAACGTAGTTTGTTGCTCACTTCTCAAATGGACACCAAATTGACCAGACATAAATAGAGTTTCGACTTACAACAATGGAGAAATATAGAGTTTCGAACACAGAGTAACAATGGACGACCACAAAACTTCGAACACAATGTGACAAAGGAGAAACAGAAAGTCTCACCGCAACAATGGAAGAACATAATTTATGTCACCATTATGTGTAAACTAGAGTTTCTAAATCTCACCAAATAGAGAGTTTCAAACCCTAACACAATGAATTAATACCACAATTGTGAATGAAACTAATCAAAAAGAAAAACGTGAATAATGGTAACTACCAAAATAGAGATAACAATAAAAAAGAAATGTGTATATCATTTTTTTTATATAATACATATCAACAATAGATATAAAGGTATAATAGTCCAATAAACAATGGCTTTGTTTGGTAGGGCTTATTTCCAGATTATTTTAGCTTTTATCTTAATTTAAACTATTTTGATGTATTTGGTTCAGCTTAAAAATACAGCTTATAGCTTTTTGTAAGTCAAAAATCAACTTATTCTTTGAGTGGGGGAGGAGAAGCTTAATTTATAAGTAAAAAATCAATTTATGTTCACATCTATAAGTTATAAGCTGTTAGGCTATAAGTTATAGGCCATGTTTGGTAGGGCTTATTTTCAGCTTATTTCAGCTTTTAGCTTGATTTAAGATATTTTGATGTGTTTGGTTCAACTTAACAATACAGCTTATAGCTTTTTGTAAATAAAAAATCAACTTATTCTTTGAGTGGTAGAGGAGAAGCTTAATTTATAAGTCAAAAATCAACTTATATTCACAGTTATAAGCTATAAGTTATTAAATTATAAGTTATAATCACTTTCCTACAACTCTACCAAACGAGACCATAATCACTTTCTCACAACTCTACCAAACATGGCCAATATAAATCAAGATAAAAGGATCTTATGGAATAAAAGTATAAATACACGTGACTAAGTAGATTGTAATTTTCCTTAATAAACTTATTGGGTTAAAACATCTCAAAATAGGATTCTTCAATAAAAAATTCCAAAAAAATTAAAGGATCAGAATGTAATTTAATTTCATTCTATAAAAAAAAATAAAAATCAACGGTGGTGAATGATTTGATCCAATGAGAGCTTTTCTCCGATTAAAGGGGAAGCTATTACATACAGACTTGATTGGTCCAGAGGATTCTGGTAGGTTCGGACGTGTAAAACACTGCTCGACTATAAATCGGCCCCACCTGAATAGTATAATCGCCATGACTTCCAACAGAAGGATCTAGAAAGAAAACCCTACTATATAATCTCTTCTGCTCATCTCCTTTGCGCTCACTAAAAAACCCTAGAACTCATCTCACTCCTCTCCCTCTATAGCATTTCGAGTTTTTTTGAATTCGAAAAAGAGTGTATTTGTAGTGTTAGAGATCGGCAATGGCGGAGACAGAGACGTTTGCTTTTCAGGCAGAGATTAACCAGCTGTTGAGTTTGATCATCAACACCTTCTACAGCAACAAGGAGATCTTTCTTCGCGAACTCATCAGCAATGCCTCTGATGTGAGTCTTTCTCTCTCTCTCTCTCTATCTGTCTTTTCTTTTTTTGTTCTGGCTTGGAAAATCGATGTTCTGATGGCAAATTTACTTTCGTACTCTCATTGTGATTTAGATCCTTAGGGTTTCTTTTGGTGTCTATGATGATGTTGATGCATGAATGTCCTGTTGAGAAATTGGGGGAAATGATAAACCACAATAGGAAGGGAATTTCGACTATCAGCTCTGTATTTGTGTGTATAGTTTCCGAGAAATAAAAGATCTTAGCCTAGGGCTTCTCGGGAAACAATCAGAGCATGCCTTAAGGTTGACGTTGTTTCTCGTCTTTTTTTATAATTTTGTTTGTGGTGCTTTTTTGGATCATAAATTTTGCTCCTTATGTTGATCGGTTTCCCAATAGTTGGGTTTCCTGTGACATACGACAAAATTAAACTGAATATTAATGATTATTGATTTATTGCATGATTAAGTATACCATTCGTTTAAGATGTGTTTCGTTTTAGATCATGAATTGTTGCCTTGGATAATAATCTTTTTTTCATACACTCCATTGTCATACACTTGTCTGTATTTTTTATTAGATAGATATAAATTAATCTGAGGATATTTTTATGTACATGCATTGCTTTTTGGGTATTGTAGTGAGATTGTTATACTATTGGTTGTCTTAAATTTTGTAGCTAATAATCTTTGAGTAATGTTAAGAATCATAAAAAAAATATGATGAAAATAATCATGAAAGATTTTTTACCTTTGGATTACACGTAGAATAAAACACACACTAATCAAAATAAGCAAGGGATGAAAAATTTTCATGGTACATTTGATGATATTTTTTTCCATGACTCCTAATATTATTCATAATTCTTTTTGTACTTATTAATTGTGGGAATTAATTAGGCTTTGGACAAAATTCGTTTTGAGAGCTTGACCGACAAGAGCAAGTTAGATGCGCAACCAGAGCTCTTCATTCACATCATTCCTGACAAGACCAACAACACATTGTCCATCATTGACAGTGGGATTGGCATGACAAAGGCTGGTAAGTATTCATATAACTGTTTGTGCATTAATTCACTTGATGATATCTATAATTTTGTTGGGTTGCTTATAATGGGTTTAATTCAATGACTTCAGATTTGGTGAACAATCTTGGTACAATTGCGAGGTCTGGAACCAAAGAATTCATGGAAGCTCTTGCTGCTGGTGCTGATGTGAGCATGATTGGGCAGTTTGGTGTTGGTTTCTACTCAGCTTACTTGGTTGCTGATAAGGTCATTGTGACCACAAAGCACAATGATGATGAACAGTATGTCTGGGAGTCCCAAGCTGGTGGCTCATTCACTGTTACCAGAGACACCTCTGGCGAGAATCTTGGTAGGGGTACGAAGATAACCCTTTACCTTAAAGAAGACCAGCTTGAATATCTTGAGGAGCGCCGACTCAAGGATTTGATCAAAAAGCATTCTGAATTCATCAGTTACCCAATCTCTCTCTGGGTTGAGAAGACTACCGAGAAGGAAATTTCTGATGATGAGGATGAGGAAGAAAAGAAGGACGATGAAGGAAAGGTGGAGGATGTCGATGAAGAGAAGGAGAAGGAAGAGAAGAAAAAAAAGAAGATCAAGGAGGTGTCCCATGAGTGGTCTTTGGTGAATAAGCAGAAGCCCATCTGGATGAGGAAGCCTGAAGAGATCACCAAGGAAGAATATGCTGCGTTCTACAAGAGCCTCACCAATGATTGGGAAGAGCACTTGGCTGTGAAGCACTTCTCAGTTGAGGGACAGTTGGAGTTCAAGGCTGTTCTCTTTGTTCCTAAGAGAGCACCATTTGATCTCTTTGACACAAAGAAGAAGCCCAACAACATCAAGCTTTATGTGCGCCGGGTGTTCATCATGGATAACTGTGAGGAGCTTATGCCTGAGTACTTGGCCTTTGTGAAAGGTATCGTTGATTCCGAGGACCTTCCTCTCAACATTTCTAGAGAGATGTTGCAGCAGAACAAAATCCTCAAGGTCATTCGCAAAAATTTGGTCAAGAAGTGCATTGAGCTCTTCTTTGAGATTGCTGAGAACAAGGAAGACTATAACAAGTTCTACGAGTCTTTCTCTAAGAACCTCAAGCTTGGCATTCATGAGGATTCCCAAAACAAGACTAAGCTTGCTGAATTGCTTCGATATCACTCCACCAAGAGTGGTGATGAGATGACTAGCTTGAAGGACTATGTTACCAGGATGAAGGAGGGACAGAATGACATCTATTACATAACTGGTGAGAGCAAGAAGGCTGTCGAGAACTCACCCTTTTTGGAGAAGCTCAAGAAGAGGGGATATGAGGTCCTCTTCATGGTTGACGCCATTGATGAGTATGCAGTGGGACAGTTAAAGGAGTTTGAGGGGAAAAAGCTGGTGTCTGCCACCAAGGAAGGTTTGAAGCTTGATGAGAGCGAAGATGAGAAAGCGAAAAAGGAAGCTCTGAAGGAGAAGTTTGAGGGCCTTTGCAAGGTGATGAAGGATGTATTGGGTGACAGAGTTGAGAAAGTGGTTGTGTCCGATCGTGTGGTGGATTCTCCCTGCTGTTTGGTGACTGGAGAGTATGGCTGGACTGCCAACATGGAGAGGATCATGAAAGCACAGGCCTTGAGGGATTCGAGCATGGCAGGTTACATGTCAAGCAAGAAGACAATGGAGATCAACCCTGAGAACCCCATAATGGAGGAGCTTAGGAAGAGGGCAGATGCAGATAAGAATGACAAATCTGTGAAGGACTTGGTTCTCTTGCTGTTTGAGACTGCATTGCTGACCTCAGGCTTCAGCCTGGATGACCCAAACACATTCGGCAACAGGATCCACAGGATGCTGAAACTTGGGCTGAGCATTGATGAGGAAGCTGGTGATGTTGACGTGGACATGCCCCCTCTAGAGGAAGCTGAAGCTGATGCAGAGGGCTCCAAGATGGAGGAAGTTGATTAAACATACTAACCCCCCTTTTCTTTCCCTCTCTATTTTTTTTTTTGGGGTTCAGATTTTGGTAGTATTTTTGTCTGAATTTGCTGTCGTTAGTTTTCTCTGCTCGTGTTTTATTGACTGGATGGTAATGGATGCTGTAGTTTTTGTTTTTAAAATCCAATATATATTATCTTCTACTTGATTGGCTGGCCTTTTATGGTTTTTGTCTTTTACGAAGTTTGATTATTATTATTTGTGAATTAGCCTATCATACGGGATAATTATAGATATTTGCATTTGTTTTAGATTTTTTTTAATATATAAATTATATTTTTTAAGATTTTTTTTTTATCACTAACCATAATATATGGGGAAGTTAAAAAGGATATTGTAGTAATTGTATACGAATTGTATCTATAATTATTTGTATACATATGGAAAGATATGTGGATTGAAAAAAAGTTAATAAATGTTGATCAGGTTATATACATATGGAAAGATATGTAGATTGAAAAAAAGTTAATAAATGTTGATCAGGAAATTTTGATCAAAAGTTTTTTTTTTAAATAAAAAATTAAAAAAATTCAGATTGGGATATTGAAGTTTCTATAGGTCTTGGGGGTTAAAAATTCAATTTTGCTTAATATATAATATAAATATAGATAGATAGATAGATATATCTTTTTATTTTTATTTTTATTTTTGTGGTTTTTATTTGGGTATTTTTTTTTTCCAATTCATTTAAGATGGAGTTGTGGGTATTTTTTTTTTAAATTTAATTTATCTGTGGTTTCCATTTGTTTTTAATTATTATTATTTAGATAAGTTAGGATTTTTAGTTTTTTAGTTTTTTTTGTTATGTTATAATATAATATATAAAATGTAGGTAGATATCTACAACTTTAATAGAAAATATTATCTGATTTTTTGGAGAAGAGAAAATGAATGCAAGTTTTAATATTTTTTTTTTGAAAATTTGTGAGAGAGATTAGGAGGGAGAGATTATGAAATATTTTTGCTATTAAATAAATAAATCAGTCAATAGTTTTTTTTAATCTATTTTGTAAATTAAAAATCAATCATTTTGGAAAATTGATTAATTTGTCCCATTAAGTGATTTAAAATTTTGATAAATATACATAAAAAAATGCATAATTATATTATTAAATCATAATTCAAATTTAGATGTTATATCTTTTTGAGATCTATAGCTAAATTCTTATCTTTTTTATTTTTATTTTTGTGTGTAACCATAGTATATGGGAGAAATTCAAAAGGGTGTTGCAATAATTATGAGAGAAGTCAAAAGGGATTGTGGGTTGGGAGAAGTCAATAAATGTTGAGATTGGGTTGGGAGAAGTCAATAAATGCTGAGGTTTTTTTTCTTTTTTTAAATCAAAAAATTAGAAAATTAGGATTAGGAGATTGGAGCCTTGAGGTTAAAAACCCCTTTTGCTTAATATATAGTATAGATTCCCCGTGAGAAAATAATACCCCTATTGCTTAACGAGGAAGAATCGAAGAAAGAGCAAATTCGTGGATTACTTTCTCACGGTGACGTGGATGTGCCTTATGTGGCAGCATATGCGATGTTATAAAAGCTATTATTATCGTCTAGTCTTGTACGTTTTAGGTTTATTTTGTGCCCTACTACTTGTCTAATGTACATCGAGGTGACATCGGCGAGTATTGACATTACTAGACATTAAGGTGACAATTGACAATATTAGACATCAAGGTGACATCGGCGAGTATTAACATTGCAGCAATGGTAGACATCGGTGTCATGCATAATTTTTTGTTAGAAAAAGTTGTACAGACCCTCCAATTGTAAGTTACCTAAAGCACCAGTCGAATCAAGGCAGTAAATTCAGTGGCTCAATCGGTACAAGGAATGGCTTTTAAAGTATCGATCACAGTCGGAGATTGGACCAGACGGGTTAACTTGATGGTGGTTTCTTTGGATGATTTCAATGTCATCTTAAGAAATAATTTCTTTGTGACTGCCAAAGTGGCTTTAATGTTATATTTGGGTGGGATACTTATTTCGAATGAAGACAAGCCTTGTTTTGTCACTGGTTATAGTAAATCAAACAAAGGCAAGGGCACAAAGAGGAAGACGAAGACCCTCTCAGCCATTCAAGTGCACAACGATTTGGAAAAAGGTGTAGAGACTTATCTTGCTGCCTTGGTGGAAATTAAACCCGATCTATTAGTAGAAGTGCTGGATGAAGGAGCAGAAGTGTTGAGGGAATTTGAGGATGTGATGCCTCCGGAGTTACCAAAGTCCATTTCCCTTTGGCGTGCCACGGATCACAAAATAGAGTTGATTCCGGATGCTAAGCCTCCAACGAAGGCACCCAACAGAATGTCCCCAATGGAACTCACGAATAGGAGTGCAACTCGGGTGGATTCAGTCGGGTTGGGGGTTTGCCCAAGCCCAGCCCGAATTGTATTTGGCTGTGCCCAAGCCCAACCATCAACCCAAACATTGCGGCCCAAGCCCGGACCAAGCTTTATATTTTGAACTCGGGTTTGCCCGAATTGTCCAAAATTCACAAGTCCAGCAATCTAAAATAACCTGAGCACTGTTTAGCTAATAGCTATACTAAAGATCAACAATAATTTTTCTTTTACAATAAACAGTTTAAGTTTAAAAATATAATAAAATAACATTGAAATACCATAAATTATATAAAATGACTTTAATCCAAACTTTAAACATAAACAGTTGACCAAACAGACTGCTATGCTATTAAACCTTTGATTGAACTTTGTCATCCATTGGTGATGGCAAAACAATTGTATAATTTTCCATAGAGTCCCACTTTTCTCAATAGATTTCAAATCTGGTGCATAAATCAAACAACAACCACAAACACTAGTACATATAAAACTTCCACACAACAAACTTCAACATCATCAAACTTTAATACAAACTTCAACATTATCTCTGTTTTTTTATATAAATATATACATATATATATATATATATATATTTAATGTGAATCAAACACAAGATTATATATATATAGAAGTCACAATCTTGCAAGAGCTAATTATATATATATATATATATTTATTAGCCTAAATTATATATATATATATATATATATATATATATATATATATATAAAAAATTATGTTTTTGTGTGTGTATATATAGTCGGATTCTGAGGGGCCGACTAGGGTAAACCCCTTACAATTGCTCAATGCAATTCATGTGGACAAAGCCCCTACCACTGGTCTAATGTATGTCAAGGTGACATTGGCGGGTACCGACATTGCTGCGATGGTAGACACCGGCGCCACGCATAACTTTCTGTCAGAAAAAGTTGTGCAGACCCTCGGATTACAAGTGACCCAAAGCGCCAGTCGAATCAAGGCCGTGAATTCAGCGGCTCAATCGGTGCAAGGAATGGCTTCCAAAGTATCAATCACAGTTGGAGATTGGACTGGACGGGTTAACTTGATGGTGGTTCCTTTGGATGATTTCGATGTCATCTTAGGAAATGACTTCTTTGTGACTGCAAAAGTGGCTTTAATGCCATATTTGGGTGGGATACTGATTTCGGATGAAGACAAGCCTTGCTTTGTCGCTGGTTGCAGTAAATCAGACAAAGGCAAGGGCACAAAGAGGAAGACGGGGACCCTCTCAGCCATTCAAGTGCACAACGGTTTGAAAAAGGGTGCAGAGACTTATCTTGCTGCCTTGGTGGAAATCAAACCTGATCTGTTAGTAGAAGTGCCGGATGAAGTGGTAGAAGTATTGAGGGAATTTGAGGATGTGATGCCTCCGGAGTTGCCAAAGTCCCTTCCTCCTCGGCGTGCCACTGATCATAAGATTGAGTTGATTCCGGGTGCTAAGCCTCCAGCAAAGGCACCCTACAGAATGTCCCCAATGGAACTTACGGAGTTGCGAACGCAATTGACGGACTTGTTGGATGCTGGACTGGTTCAGCCATCCAAAGCCCCTTACGGTGCCCCGGTGCTTTTTCAAAAGAAGCAAGATGGAAGTTTGCGCATGTGTGTGGACTATCGGGCTCTCAACAAAGTGACTATAAAGAACAAGTACCCAGTCCTTTTGGTGGCAGACCTATTTGATCGATTGTGCAAGGCCACTTACTTCACAAAATTAAATTTACGTGCTGGCTATTGGCAAGTTTGAGTAGCTAACAGGGATGAGTCAAAGATCACATGTGTTACGAGGTATGGGTCTTTTGAGTTCCTAGTAATGCCGTTTGGGTTAACTAATGCTCCGGCTACATTCTGTATAATCTTATGAATGATGTATTCAATGATTATGTCGATCAGTTTGTTGTTGTTTATTTAGATGATATTGTAATATATAGTGAGTCCCTGGAGGATCACTTGTCCCACCTTCAGATGGTGTTCACTCAGTTACGAGAACACCAGTTGTTTGTCAAGAAAGAAAAATGTGAGTTTGTTCAACGGGAAATTAAATTCTTGGGGCATGTAATTTGGCAAAGGCCTCATAAAGATGGACAATAGAAAAGTGCAAGCGATCATGGATTGACAAGCACCATGCAAAGTGACTGAGTTGCGCTCCTTTTTGGGTTTGGCCAATTATTATAGAAAATTCATTGAGGGATACTCAAAGAAGGTAGCACCTTTCACAGATTTGCTCAAAAAAGACAGACCCTGAAAGTGGGATGAAAATTGTCAAGCGGCCTTTGACAAATTGAAAGTGGCTGTTGCAAGTGAACCGGTTTTGCGATTACCTGATTTTGAACTTCCATTCGAATTACATACTGATGCATCTGATAAGGCTATTGGCGATGTTTTGATGCAAGAGGGGAACCCGGTTGCGTTCGAAAGTCGGAAGTTAAATTATGCTGAGAAGAATTATTCTGCCCATAAAAAGGAAATGATAGCGGTTGTGCATTGTCTTCAGACTTGGAGAGTTTACCTACTGGGAACCAAATTCATGGTATTGACGGACAATGTGGCAAATACTTTCTTCAAAACACAAAAGAAGTTGTCTCCAAGGTGGGCCAGATGGCAGGAATTCCTTAAGGAGTATGACTTCGAATGGCGACACAAACCTGAGCACCACAACCAGGTTGCTGACGCTTTGAGCCGGAAGGAAATTGTGGACTACGTTGCTGCAATATCAAACATTGAAACTCAATTGTTGGAAAGAATTCGCGCAAGTGCTGCAATTGATTCTGAATATCAAAGCTAGTTCAGCAAGTGAAAGATTGCATTTTGCGTCGCTATTGGTTGGAAAATGATCTACTGCACGGCAAAGGAGATAGATCATATGTCCCTAGTGTTGGTGGGCTAAGATTAAAGTTGCTTAGAGAAACTCATGATCCGCAATGGGCGGGTCACCCCGGACAACAACGCATGATGGTTTTTCTGTCTCGTTCCTATTGTTGGCCAAAAATGAAGGAAGATGTAGAAGCCTATGTCAAAACTTGCCTAGTGTGCCAACTGGACAAGACAGAGAGAAAAAAGGCAGCTGGACTGCTACAACCGTTGCCTATTCCAACTAGGGATGGCAATTTGAAACTGGCCCGATGGGGACCCGACTCCCCGACCCCGAATTGAGCAGGTTTTCCCCGAAAAATAACCCTGACGAGACGGGGCTGGTATTTAAAAATTAATCCCTGAACAGATTCGGACCGGGGATGGGGATAAGTGTCTCAGCCCCGTACCCGACCCGGCCCCGTCCCCGTTCCCCGGCCCGGTTTATCCCTGATGTTAAATTACTATTTTACCCCTATAATATTAATAATATTATAAACCAAACCAAGTCTCACATATTGCCCATTGAGTGCTGAGTTATAATATTATATATATAATAATATAAACCAAACCAGTGATAACTGAGTTATAATATTATATATATAATAATATAAACCAACCCAGGTCTCACACTCACTCTCATTTATGTCTTCCTCACAGCCGTGTCTCTCTCTACCTCATTGACTTCTCTCTCTCTCTCTCTCTCTGCATGTTCTTTCTTTTTTTCTAATCTTTCCCCTTGAGCAACAGACTTTGTAGATGGTATTGTTTTTCACTCTTTGGATGTTTGTAGAATAGAACACAAGCATGGAAAATCAACCCTTTTCTAAAGTTGAAGGCATAGTCTATAACAATATCTACTCTCATGAAATGCTTAGTGGTGGTCTTAGATTGATGCTTGTAGTTGTGCACAATGTTGTATTTAATTCTATCAAAGCTTTTTCGTGGTGTAAATTGAACATGTTATAATTCTAACCTCTGATGCTATGTTGCCCTAAAAGATCGTCGTTGAAATGTTCATTCAAGTTTGTTTGCACCTATTAAATTTATCTATGCTGTTGTTAGTTATCTATGTCTGCAGAGATAATGACCTCTCATAAAATTGTTCTTTGGTTTCCAGGTTCCGTCAAGATTGTTCAAGACTCAGTAGCTATCCGGGAGAAATTCGGCCATCGGGGATCGGGGACGGGGAGTGTGATCCCTAGCCCCGCCCCGTTGCCATTCCTAATTCCAACGAAGCCATGGGTGTCTGTTTCCATAGACTTCATATCCGGGTTGCCAAAGGTGAACGGTATGCATTCTGTTATGGCTGTTGTTGATCGTTTCTCTAAATATGCTGTGTTTATCCCTGCCTCTCATGCTTGTCCTGCCGATGTTACGGCAGACCTATTTTATAGTATGTGGTGAAATACCTTGGTTTGCCTGAGGATATTGTTAGTGACAAGGATACCCGATTTACGGGACGGTTTTAAACTGCGCTATTTAACTTGATGGGATCCGAATTAAAGTTTTCTACAGCAAATCATCCTCAGACGGATGAACAGACCGAGAGAATAAATGCTTTGCTGGAAGAATACCTTCGACATTATGTGACTGCAAGTTAGAGGAATTGAATTGACCTACTGGATAGCGCCCAGTTTTGTTATAATCTGCATCAGTCATCTGCCACAGGCATGAGTCCATTTGAATTAGCCATGGGGCAATAGCCCCTTACTCCGCAAGAAGTGGCATAGACTGGCTCAGGGGGTAGATGTCCCGCAGCATACCGATTTGCAAGAGCTAAACAAGACATGCTGGATGAAGCACAAGATAGTTTGGCCAAAGCAAGCAAACAGATAAAAAAAGTATGCTGACAAATGGCGGAGACCATTGGAATTCAAAGTAGGAGGTAAGGTGTTGCTGAAGCTTACTCCACAGATTTGGAAAATGATAAGTAGTAAACAGCGTATCGAGGCCTAATTCTAAAGTTTGATGGACCCTTTGAAATTCTAAAACGTGTGGGAAATGTTACTTACTAGTTGAAATTGCCTGACCGATTAAAGACACACCCAACAATCCATGTTAGTTTCCTGAAACCTTATCATGAGGATCAGGCTAACATAACACAGACGCAAGTCCAACGCAAGCCCTCCAGTGATTAGAAAACAGTTTGACAAAGATGTGGAACAGATTCTGGACCACAAGACAGAGGGGCAAAGCAAGAAAAATCGAAGAACTCATTACTTGGTTAAGTGGCAGGGTTCTCCTGAAGCGAATGCAAGTTGGGAAAATGATGTAACTCTATGGCAGTTTGAGAAACAAATTACAGACTACTTAGAGGCTTTACTGACGAGGACATCGGCTTCTTCTGGTGGGAGTGGTTTGGTAGCACCTTAAGACTTGGACACTCAGCTTGGCATGTGGTGGCACTTTGCACCTATTTCAAGGTCCAAGTCAGGCATGAGGGAGGCATGCCTAAGTCAAGGTAACAATGTGGCAGTGGCAATGCCACCAAACCCAAAGGTGAGTAATGTTTCATGCAGGAAAATGAACGGCTATACTTAGCCCGAATGCTGCTAGCAGCATAGACTTGTTGGGTCAAACAGATCAGTGGGCATGACACTTTATGGCAGACCAAGACTTACAATTTCATGGGTTAAACTCAGGAGGGTTCAAAAGGCTGAAATGGATAGGCAGTTCATAGCAGTTCCTTGGCATGATGCAAAGCTGACAGACAGGGCAGTTTATCGCAATTATGCTTGCAAAAAGTCATGACAAAGCTTGCTAGAATTAAGGAACTGCTCCAAGACAGTTCCAGGTAGTTTCCAGCAGTTACAATCTGTAGCAGCCTTGTTGGTTTGAATTTGCCCTAGCGGTTGGGGGTGTCAACTGCTTATAACTGATTTGTAAAATGCCTATAAATGTTAAGGCATATAGGGATTTAGACAGATTATATTATCTGTACAAATACTCATGTATCTTTGTATTATTTGGTGATAATAAAGGTTGAAAACGGTTTCTGTAATCTACTTGTGTATGCTTGCTTGCTTGCTTACAAAACTCATAGTGGGTAATTCGTGCATGCTTGGCTGAGACTAAATACTGTAACTTAGTGCCATTACAGGTTGGAAATTTAAAACGAAAATTGACCCAGTAACAATTGGTATAGACTTTAGTCCGAAATAAAAAGAGAAACATTTACCTAGATTCACCCTTATCAATTTCATTAAAACAATGAAATGTTTTTTTTATCCCTTGTGTATTTCCTTTCCATAAATGATTTTTATCTTACATTGTTAAAGATTAGAACGATAGAAATAAATAATCAACAATGATTCATCCCACTAAAAATATCACCACTAATAGCACTAATGCATTAAAAAAGTAAAAAAAAAAAAAATACAACTCCAAGACCAAAACATCACATCATTGATGGCGGGACCCACTGCCACCTAATTAGTGGGAGCACTAATTAGTGCTCCCAAGCATTTTTCATAAACAATTTCTTTTAGCATTATGCCAAACATATTTGTTAGTAATGAGAAATACATATTTGTTAGTAATGAGAAATACATATTTGTTGCATGACCACTCACTCTTAATTACAAGTTGATTTTTAAAGATGGATTTTCACCCTTTATTTGTAAGCACTCAATAAAGAAAGTACTCAATTTTGGACTATTTTAAAAAGATGATTAAAAAGTATTTTTTGATTAAAAGCTGTTTTTTGTGAGAGAAAGAAGTGTGTTATAATCTAGGAAGTGAATTATAACTCACTTCTCAAAAGACCTCTTAGAAAGGAGAGCTACAACAGATTTGTACATGTACCAGGAAAAATGGGGGTATATTTTTTTTTATTAATAATAAAATAAATACATATAGTAAAGAATGTATAACTATTTTAAAATTTGTAAAATGAAGCTCTCTACGTCACTCATTAACAACTAAACAAAAACAAAACAAAACAAAACAAAAATTGAAAACTGCTTTATGAGAAATGCTAGAATAATAGTTTTTTACCATGTTCATACGTTTAATGACATTAAATTGGGATTCATTATTTTCAACTAGTGTGTGTGTGTGATTTGTGTATGTATGGATGCATCCCAATTCCATTTGTATGAGACAGATATTGTTCATGCTATGGAACAAATAAAGCGACTACTGCAGTAGCAAGTTGAATGAAAATAACATTTACAGAAATCAAAACATAAACAACAATCAATTTTGGTAAAAACGAATGCCACCATTGATAATACAATAATAAATACACACACACAACCAGCAATCTTTGTGAAGATAATAAACAAATAAAATGCCAAAGCTTTTGTCCTGGTCTTATATTACATGTGGGAAGACTGCATTTTTTTAAAACCAACAATAACAAACTCACAACCTAAATGCAGATCTGGATCAGGTATCCTCGACCCGTGAATGAAATACGAAGCTTGGGAATGTAGTGGTGATGTCCCTGTTCAAGAAAATTAAACCTCAGCAGTATAGCACTTAAAGTAAATTGTAATGGCTAATTGCATATACTTGTCCAAACAGAAGATCTAAACAATGCTGAAAGGATAACTTGGATCGGGCATAATACAGAAATGCATGCATGCATCTCCTGTATCCTGATGTAAACACTACTAAAGATCCTAATGTCTCAAGAAGTACACAGATTTTTTAGAGTAGTGCTCAAGGACCTCTGTTATGATATAAATACTAATTTGGTGCGAAGATACTAATAAGAATTGGAGAAAAGAAAGTAGCTTACTTGAGGTACTGGAGGGTCATATTCTTCAAAAGGGATGGATGTCGCAGTACAAGACTTCTCCACTCTTCCTTGTCAATCTTCCCATCATGTTTCGTATCAGCTTCCTCAAAGGTCTGAAAAATTGCCCAAAACATAATAAAAAAATTTCATGTGATTCCTCCGAGATGCAAATAACAAACTATCATGTCTATGTCAAAACTCCCCGTCCAACACCATTTTAACTAAAGAATACGAAGCTTGATACAAGAGATCAAATACCGTTACTGTCTTTGCAAATCATTTACGTCAACTTAAGTTTCGCGTGTCAACAATTATCGCTTTATAATGATTCAAAGTAGCCAAAATACTGCTTTTCGCTAAGTTGTCAAATAGGATCTACAAGAAACTTTGATAAGTCAAGTAAGTTAAAATTGTATGGCTGAAGAAACATCAGTAGATCTGTAAGTACCTATAACTTCATCTCCAGTCTCTTAATACTGTGGGCAATAGGTTCGGAAGTTGAAATTAAATATCAGAAACTAGCACCCTCTTTTGCTGCATGGCTCATATTTGACTATTCGTATTATTGACATTGGTAGACATAAAAGTTATTTGACAAGTGTCAGAGGTCTGTTTATGTGGAATCGCTGATCGGAAAGCCATGGAAGATTCAATGAACAATTTGATGCTAATGTTGGTTGAACAAGGGAAATGCAACAGAATAATAGAGTGTAACAAAATAAATTTGCTTCCATAGAATACAGCCAATAGGAAAATAAAAATCCCCCCTCCCCAACCCCACCCACCGCCCAAATAATAATAATAATACTAATAACAAAGGTAAAAAATGCCAACAATCCATGAAAAACAAGGCACAGACAAATTACACATTGGATACGAATGCCTCGAGGTATTCAAATCATACATGACAAGTAATTAACTCAGGTTGAGGGGAGTACCTTGTCGATGATACTCTCTATAACATCATCTGAAAGGTTCATACCAGATTCAGCAAGAGTCGCCACTACCATTTGCTTCACCTGCATTGTGGAAGTTAATTAAAATCTCAAACAATGAACAAAAATTTATTAGATATAAAAGACAAACAACATAACATTACCACATGTTAACTCTTTCTTATTGGAGTCTAAACCTAAGAAGAAACCAGAAACTCACTATACCAGATGCGTCAAGTACCATCTAATATTTGGCCATCTTATTACACTAAACAAAAGTAAATCAGCTTGCGGTATTGCATATGCACTGAATTATAATTGCGTTCCTATTGGATTAGCTTGGGCAAGAATTGTTCTAAAACAGAGAACCAATAACTTAAAACTTGAGAGTGATGTATACATCTACCATGTCGCTCAAAAGAATTTTCCAAATGTATAGCCTACACCCACTGAAGGTCCATAATGGTAACATGAAACTTGGGAACTATTGTTCTAGTAGGAATCAAAATTGTTAGGTTAATTAACCTTATTTAATGTTTTTCAACGTAATTCACTAAACAAAGCAACAGAACAATAAAGCAGTTTTCCTCTACTGAGGCAATAATTAAAATTGAGTTTTCCTAGTTTAAATATAAATAAATAAATAAAACCAATCCAGAACAAGACCTGTGTAAAATAGAACTAAGGGTAGCTCATCACTGATCATCACAGAATGGCAAGTCGCAGTTTAACTCAAACAGATCATGCTAAAACAATTAATTACCTCTTGCCTTTCAATGAAACCTTGCTGCTTGAGATCGTACAGTTGGAACGAAACTGCAACATGGGAGTATTGGTGTAATGAAAAAATAAACTAGGAATACAGGTAGATGAGCAGATAAAATAATAATTCCCATCATCATAGAAATACAGCGTTGTTTTAGCATACACTCAATCTTATCATCAATAGGGGCATTTGGATGAAATACAGAGAGTGCACGAGCAAACTCTTCAAAGCCTAGGATGCCATTATGTTTTGTGTCAAACAAGTCAAATACCTGCAATTAGTAAAAAACGGGAAGAGATTAGGATAAGAAAATTTAGCATATTTATTCTGAAATATTTAAAACAAGATAGCAATACAATGACGAGTGAATCAACATAATTCACTTTTCAACACAGACTAGTTACACGAATATTTCTAAAATCCCCAGTCTGCAGCTCCCAAAACATGTGCAAATGAATACATGCACATAAACATACGGTGAATAATGCTATATGCACCGATTAGTGCACTAATTAGTATACCGATTGATGATATGACATAATTTAAGAGGTTTTTGGTATTTGTAATGTGATTAATGAGTGGCGTCAATAATAATGTCATAACTAATGTTGGAACACTAGTTAGTACACTAATTGACACATGTAGTACCACCATATGTGCTTGTACCTATATATACATATGTATGGACACTTTTTATTACACACACACATACGCAAAAAAAAAAAAAAAAAACGCTCAATTAGTACACATTAATGTGTGTGGGAGAAGAAAGATTGGGTACACACCTAACCTTTGGCATAATATACAAAGTGGTTGCCCCGTGACTTAAACCCATAACCTCAAGGTTAGTAGGCCAAGATTTTTACCATTGAACCAATGGTCACCCCTACACTTTTTATTACACAGTGATCCAAAAATCTCAGGCAAAAAGACTGGCGCAGTTAAAACAATTCTATGGAGAGAATGTCCAGCTAAGGTGAACTTTAGCAAGAGCAACAAGTTGATAAAGTACCCGATCAGCAAATAAGCTCTCCTTTTTGTTTGTCTTAAATAATGCCAGTTGAAACTCTTCCTGCAGTATAATATAGAATTATAGCATTCAACAGTTAGATTTTGGAGAGGTAACAACACATCTGTACAGAGAAAACACAAATAATAGCAGAAAATTCAAGCATTATTGCAGTACTACAATGATATTTCATTTTAAAATGTAATTAAAATAATGCAACAATGATATAGATGAACCTTGTTGATCAGCCCGTCATCGATTACTGCGCTGCTAATCTTTTTAAATAGCTCATAAAGTGCCTCTATTTCACTTACACTAACTGCATCCAAATAGCAAGTCATGTTCAGTAGAATGGTTAAGTTGCTATTTCATTACAGAAAATAAAAGGATAAGTAATTAGCATCAATACGTCACAGAGCTAGTTGGATCATATTAATTAATTGTGTTACATTGTGAAGTGCTCAAAACCACACTTAATAGGTAAACTCAGACAATATATGATCCTCACAACAATTTTCATTTTCAAAATTCCAAAGAATAAATACAAAGTCAAGACAGTAAGGACCAGTGGCATACACACTGTCTCCCTTGCAAGAACTTCAGGATCTTCAAGGTCTCTGGATTGTCTATACAAATCAAGATCACAGCAGCGAAGTAGGGAAGCACACAAATGCTTAACCCCTTCTAAGCACTGCAACATGGTAAATCTTGCACGTCAAAACACTCCATACCTGTTCAAAAGAAAGTGTGAAAACATTTTTTGTAGCTAATTCCATGCAAAAGAGGATCGTTTATGGAATAAAACTAACCTTTTGACCATTTCCTGTTACTGACACTGGTACCCAAATGCAAAGGATTGTGAGACTGATGCACTTTCCTATATCTGTGAGGTAGAAATGAAATTAAAATGTCCATTACTACCTGAATGTATAGATATACACATATCTACACAAACATTTACAAGTGAGAACTTAAATTTTGAACACACACGCACAAAAAAAGAAAAAAAAAGAGGGATATCCAATATTCAAGAGAATGGATATCCAATATTCAAGAGAATGTAAACGAGATCCAATTTTTTTCCCTATCAAGTGAACAAAAACAAATATTTGATCATTGCTGAATTGATGTTGCATAACCACATAAATACAAGTCCATGGAAAATAGCATACGTCTGAATACAAGATTTATATAAACAAAAGAAGAAGACTAAGAATGACAAACTGTCAAATTGACAATTGACAATAGAAAATAATGAAATGAAAATAAAACATATTTCCCATAGAATGCACTTTGATAATTTTTAAAGGTTCACAAATTACCTTTGCATGAATAATCTTTCATGTAGTAATTGTAACATGTATTGGCCAAACACTACAGCATTGGAATTATAAGAAGAACTCAACAGATAAACTCATTCCAGAAGTTAATAATGCACATCAGCTTGCATGTTTGTTGAGCTGCAGAAAGTATATTGTACGAAATGGTTGATGTGGTAAGAAGCCTTCACTTGATGGTAGAATAGAGCAACTCGAGATGAAAAGTCAGAGAGGAGCATCAACACACTATGCTGTAAAGGAGGGTCCTATAGAGTAGTGCGGACGCAATTATTGTGGTCTAATTTTCGCCATGTACATAGAACGATGTCAAAAGTTACACAATTCATTTTGAACTACTTCAGTTAAGGATCCATGAGAAAAAAGTTGGGAATTACATGAATTTCAGCAATGATTCCAAATGAGTTTTTCCCATGATTATATTTAATGATGCCATCAAGGAATGTTCAAACCAGAATCTGGGATGAGCTTTAGTCATTCCAGAAGTGGGATTGCTACGTGGGAGTTAACAGGGGTTTGAGTGAGTTTAAAACCACGAAGCAGCAGATACTAGGCGAGACCTCAAGTATGGCATCCACATTGTTTCTCTGTCTGGTATGAAGGATAGAAAAATGAAAGAAAGGAAGATCAGGTAGGATGGATGGGAATAGACAGAGTATCCCTAGGAATGGAAGCTGTATATTTCAGCTTTTGTTTGGTTTAATAAGTGGGTACATGTGGATCTCCAAATGACGCACCCAAGGGTTAGCTCCAAATGACAAAGGCACAAGACAAGCGGATCTCCAGCACTAAGCTTCTGTCACAAATCTCCCATCACCAATCTGCTCCCCACTTGTCCATAAGAGATTTGCCAAAGGACTTCACCAAACCAGGCTGAGAGCCGGGCCTGAATTCTCGCACAGGACCATTGGAAGAAAGAGAGGTACAAACGCACCTTCAACTTGTGATTCTCCGAGGAACATATCATACCTATTTCTGGGGGCACTATGATATGATGTCCATTGGTTTAGCATACCTACCACTACAGGCACACCATGAAACAACTCCCAAAGTTTGACTTCAGGAGCAGTGATTAGTCCATACATCAGGATTGTCAAACCAAGGGGATTACGTTAACTATCCTTATAGAGTTGGCCCCCATCGTTCAACTTTCCTGTATAAGGAGACCTCTCTATGCATAAACATCAAGCCTTCTCCAATCCCCTTCAGCAAGATCATAAGAATCTCCATTGCCAATCTCTCTCTCTTTCTATATATATATATATACACACGCACTAGGGTTTCCTTGGATTACATTAACTATCCTTACAGAGTTGGCCCCCATCGTTCAACTTTCCTATATAAGGAGACCTCTCTATGCATAAACATCAAGCCTTCTCCAATCCCCTTCAGCAAGATCATAAGAATCTCCATTGCCAATCTCTCTCTCTCTCTCTCTATATATATATATACACTAGGGTTTCCTTGGCTCTCTCTCGTCCGCCTCTGGTGGTCCCATGCCAATTGTGTGCCTACCATCTTCCAAGATATCGAGGAAAGAAGAAAGGATGAAAGATTTCACTGCTATGCCTTTACATTGTATCTAAATTGTATCTATTACACAAAAATTATGCAATCTCCAGTCCAGTATACTAATTTTTTTAACAGAGAACATTCCAATATAAACCCAGAGTGCATAACGAAGACATATAATCTGATTGAAAACAACTCCATCCAGATATGTAACTGCTTAATTACACAAACACCAATCAATTAGATATTGAATTCGTTCTAAAACCTAACGTAGCGATTCCTAAAACCGAAATAAACAACAAATACACAAAGCTAAACCGCATCCTAATGGAAACAAAGATCCCTACCGAGAGAACCGACTCTGAAACCCAATCTTTTGATTCGAGAAATTGGACGATTTGATGAGCAATTAAACAAATCTTCGAGCGTTTCGGTTCGAAACGAATGAAGATGATTATGCTACAGATCTATCAATAAAAATCTGAATATGCGAATGATTCAATCAGATGATATATACATATACTGATATATACACACAAACACATAAAAAAATATATCAATCGGTTTGGAGATTTGGATGCAAAGCAAACCTTTAGAAGAAACCAAAGAGCTTAGATTGATTTCAGATTCTGCAATGTCCGCTGGTTGTGCTATTTTTTATCTGGTCGAGAAGAGAAAATTCTGTCTCTCTCTATACACCTGATGATTGAAAGGGAGGGAGAGAGGGGGAGTGCCGAGTGATAGTTATACGAGAAGGGGACCTCTCTCATGGGTGTGTACATCAACCGTATAACGTGGGCGTTTGAGAAGAAGTTATTTGAGGAGACAATTGTAGTTTTTGGTTATTTTAGTCTTCTTTTGGCATGTTAAGTTTGGAGCTTTTTGGTTATTTTAATTAAAAAAAATAAAATAAATTTTTTTATTTTAATAAAATAAAATATCACATTTAATTTATAATTATTATATTTTTTTCTTATAAAAAAGTCAAAGAAGGTAAAAGCTCTTTCTAAACAAGACTTTTCAGGTTAAAATAGTCAAAAAAAATCAAAAAACTAACTCACTTCTCAAACGAACTCTTAGTAGGTTAATTTTTTTGTATTTAAAAAGATGATTGAATTTTTTTTAGTTGGATGTGATATTTATGAGATAAACTATTTTAATATTTGAACCCTTATGGATTTGATGTAATATTTTATCTTATTAACTATTTTAATTTATTTTATTTTTTTATAATATTTTATCTTATTAACTATTTTAATTTATTTTATTTTTTTATAAATTTTAACCAAAAAAATAACCCAAACCCAATTTGCTAAACACCCGTACCCGTTATCTCCGCCTATGCTTACTCCTTTTTTTTCTTTTTCTTTTTTAATATTAAATTTGAATAAAAATTTTATTTAGTATCCAACGTTTCAACAAAATTTGGGATTTTATTAAACTATTGATCGGCCACGAGGGTGACTAGGGATGTTTAACTGGTTGATCAGCATAATTTTTAAAAATTTTGAAATAAATTTTTATAAAGAGGTGGTTGACCGGTGACAATTGGTTAGACAACCGATCGATTGTCCTATCATTTATTGTCTAACAGTCACTTGTTTTCCTAATGGCTATGTACAATAATTTTGTGAAAGGTTCTAGTACCTTCAATTTGATGAAAAATTTAAGATATTCTTAATTTGATACTGATTTAATGTTAATGTTAGCACCAATTTTGTACATTTTTTATTAAATTTAAATTTGATAAAATAAAAAATGAAGCACGTGAGATGCTTTAAGTAATGAAAAAAATGACATAATTTTTATATTTTTTGAATCATAATAATTTTTTTATCATAATCAAATATAATATGATATATAATTAAAGAATTTATATGTCATAATTAAAATAATATTATAATTAAAAAATAAAATTAATTATAATTAAAAAAACTAACATAATTACAAATATATATATATATATATATATATATATAATACATTTCTTTCAAATATGTGTATGTTAGAATTTTTCTATGAGAAGAGCTCCTTATTTTATTTTTCCTCATAAAAAAAGGGTTTTTTTTTTAAGGTCCCTAGTATTAAGATTTTATAGTATAAAGGACATCTAATATTTTCATAATGTCTAAGGTCTCTCAATTTGATCCAGAGAAATTCTGGTCCAGAGGAAATCTGTCCAGAGAAATTTCAACCCAGGGAAATTTCCATCCGGAGAAATTTGAAATTTCTCTAGTTTGTTCAATTTTTTTGATTTTCTATGTTTTGAAAATGTCTCATCCAATTCCCAAAATGGTGCAAATCAGAATATTTTCTGGTGATTTTAGGTACATTATACATGAAATCCACAAGCAATTGTTAAACTAAAGTTTGTACACACCATAAGGCTACAACTGGATCAAATTCCTGAAGAAGTAAGTACTAAGAAGAAACCAACCTACTAGAAGGAAGGTGAAGATGGCCAAGAACGTTATGAAAGTCTATCATCCGAAGGTAACCAAATATGATGACAAATGGTAAGTAAAATTGGGTCATTGATGCTTTGTTGACCCACCGTCCCTTGAGAAAAATCAAAACTGCGAGATTCACTACGTTATACCCACCAGAGAAATTTCTCTCCAAATAAATTTTCATTCAGAATTTCTCTGGATTCTCTGTGTTTTAACCAAATTTCTCTGGACTTCGAAATTTCTCTCCAGAGAAATTTTGAATTTCTCTGGATTCTTTGTGTTTTGACCAATTTTCTTTGCACTTTGGAATTTCTCTCCAGATAAATTCTGCTCCAGATAAATTCAGTCCAGGCATGTCCATTTCCATTTCCTAGTAGACCAAAACCACACCCCAAATGAGAATTTGATCCTTCTGTTGGGGTTTGGGAAGGGGTTGGTACTTGGACTCCTCAGCACAATAAAATGAGAGTTCACCACTGCATTTGTCTTATTTTTATTTTATTTCTAATCATGCTTTGTATGATATGTTTTCTCTTGGCAAAAAATGACTTGTTATGTATGAAATTATGAACTATCTGAATACTTATAATTATCTCTTGTACTTTCATCTTTTTTTTAGACTTCTACAATACTTTTACTTTATGATAGTTTGTATTCCAGATAAATTCAGCCCAGGCATGTCCATTTCCATTTCCTAGTAGACCAAAACCACACCCCAAAATGAGAATTTGATCCTTCTGTTGGGGTTTGGGAAGGGGTTGGTACTTGGACTCCTCAGCACAATCAAATGAGAGTTCACCACTGCATTTGTCTTATTTTTATTTTATTTCTAATCATGCTTTGTATGATATGTTTTCTCTTGGCAAAAAATGACTTGTTATGTATGAAATTATGAACTATCTGAATATTTATAATTATCTCTTGTACTTTCATTTTTTTTTAGACTTCTACAATACTTTTACTTTATGATAGTTTGTATACTTGATTAATTCTCACCCATTTGTTTCCCAGATTATTCACAACAAATTCTGTCATAACTTCAGTAAAACTATTATCCCTTCTGTAGGTGGCTTGACAAAGCTGCGGTAATTACAGACATTGAGAACAAAAATGGGGACTTACAAAAACAACCCAGAAAACGACTCTAAAGTACGAATCAAGAGCTCATCAAGCATAACATCGCTGTTTCTGCTTCGTGTATTGGAATGAATTTCTCTGGTTTGGACTAGAGAAATTCTCTGGTTTGAACTGAATTTTCTCTGAGTTAGTCCAGAGAAATTCTTTGGTTTATACTGAATTTTCTTTGGTTTGAACTAAATTTTCTTTGGGATGGTCCAGAGAAATTCTCTGGTTTAAACTAAATTTTCTCTAGGTTTATTTGAATTTTATATGGGTTAGTCCAGAGAAATTCTCTAGTTTGAACTGAATTTTCTCTGATTTGAACTGAATTTTCTTTGGGTTTATTTGAATTTTTTCTGGGTTGGTCCAGAAAAATTCTCTGGTTTGGACTAAAATTATTGATTCACATGTTTCCAATTTGGGCTACTGGAATCATCATATGTGCTGTTTATGCACAGTTGGGTACATTGTTTGTTGAGCAAGGGATGATGATGGACAGGACCATTGGTTCCTTCTCTATTCCTGCAGCTTCTCTTTCAGCATGTGACATCATAAGCGTTATTTTCTGGGTCTCTGTTTACGATAGGGTCATCGTCCCTATTGCGAGGAAGTTTACTGGCAGAAAGATAGGCTTTACAGAGTTGCAACGTATGGGAATCGGCCTCTTTATTTCAGTACTATGTATGATATCTGCTGCTTTGGTGGAGATGAAGAGATTGACACTTGCACAAGCCCTTGGTTTGGTTGATGAAATTGTTCCAATACCACTTAGTATCACGTGGCAAATACCCCAATATTTTTTGTTTGGTGCTGCAGAAGTATTTACATTCATCGGGCAGCTTGAGTTCTTTTACGAGCAGTCATCGGACGGCATGCGTAGCTTGTTTGCTGCATTGTCCCTTTTGACGACTTCCATGGAAAGCTACTTGAGCTCTTTTATTCTTACTGTAGTGATATCTCGATCAACGCAGACTGGGAGGAGGACGTTGGCGATGGGGTAGGATTTGGGGGTAGCGAAAGATCTTGAAGCTTTTGTTCATTTGGTTGTAGGAGAGTGAGAAAGAGAGGAATCGTGGGCAAAGAATCAAATTTCTCTGATATATGTTTAGGGATCTTAAATATCAAAAAATAATTTTGTGGATCTCTTCCATTACGAAAAGTGAGGGAAGGACCCTAGGCTAATTTTTCCCATAAAAAAAATGTTTTGTTCTAGAAAGATTATAAAAAAATTATTGTGAACTTATCGTTTCGTGTAATGGCGATGTTGATTGATGAAGATTGTGGGGTCGTAGGTAGAGAAAAAAAATAAAATAATAAAATATTTAAAACTCATAATATATTTTTTGTGTTAAATTTGTTGGTCTTTTGGATTTTTTTAGGAATATGATTAAAAGTGAATTTTTAACTTTTAATCTATTTAGAATTATATCACTTCTTTATATTTTTACACATTTTTTTTTGTGCATAAAGTCAAAAAAAATAAAAAAATTAGTTTTTAACCAATTTTTCAAAACAATACTAAGAATTTTAATTTTTTTAGAGACACGTAATTGTAGGGCTGTTCAAAAATCCGTTCAAACCGGTAATCCGGACCGAACCAGACCGAATTATACGGTTTGGTTCGGTTCTATTAAGAATTGGTTCGGTTACGGATTAAGAAATATGAGAACCGTAAAAACGGTTCGGTTAATGGATTTTATGAAAAAAACCGCGGTTCAAACCGAACCGAACCGAATTTTAAAAAATAAAATAAAAAATATATATATAATATCAAGTTTTATTTTTATTAATTGATTTTTTATAATTTTAATGATATTAGGATGGTATATATATGTAATATTAAGTAATGCCATAATATTATTAGTTTTAATCATGAGTTAAATGTAATTAGTTTGAATAATTATTTTGCTAATATTAATAAATTATTCTTGTAAATAGAAATTTTTGGAACCGTAAACCAAACCGAAACCGAACCGTTTTTTCGGTTTGGTTCTGGTTCGGTTTTACAAGTGTAACGGTCTGGTCTGGTTCTCAAAATCACAGAACCGTTAGGATTGGTTCGGTTCTTGGATTTTCTCAGAACCGAACCAATCCGGACCGTGTACACCCCTATTAGGGCTGTTCAAAAATCCGTTTAAACCGGTAATCCGGACCAAACCAGACCGAACCGTACGGTTTGGTTCGGTTCTATTAAGAACCGGTTCGGTTTCGGTTCTAAAAATATTGAAAACCGTAAAAACGGTTCGGTTAACGGATTTTATAAAAAAATCACGGTTCGAACCGAACCGAACCGAATATATATATATATATATATATGATATTTAATAAATGATATTTAATTGGAATGCCAATCACGCCATTCTTGAGAGAGAACATTTTGAAATACTAGTTCATAAATTCAATCACGCCTCTGTTTTAAACATCAGTTATATATATATATATATGATATTTAATAAACATTAGTTCATAAATTCAACTCAATCACGCCATTCTTGAGAGAGAACTCGAAGGGTCTCGACTATTTCTTGGCCTTGGCCTTCAGTTCAGATTCGTCTCCTCGATTCCATCTTCATCTCTTCGTTTCTCTCACACTCTCCTCTTATTTGAATACTACATACCAGTCATGCCATCAACCATCTCTTTCTCTCTCAATCTCATCACAACAGTACCTTCCACCATTGCTACTGTTAGGACCTCCAAATCTGGCCAACTATCTCCTTTAGTATATGATCTTGCCACCAACAGCTTTCCAATACCATCGGCTATTCACTCTTGCATAATCGCAGTACGAAATCAGTGAGTAATTTTTTTATTTTTGTGTTAGGTTTTTTTTTTTTTTAAATATATAAATATATTTTGCTTTCCTGTACTGATTCAGAAAATAATCCACACCCTTTTTCTGATATCTATTTATACAATATCTTCTCTTCTAACTAGTATTCATGCCCATATTGGTAACTAACATCCAAAACAGAGTAATTAATATTCAAAACATAACTTGACAGTAGAAATCTTTGAATAGAAATCCTGGTAACATTACATTCTGTCATCTATTCACTCTTGCATTTTTGATAGAAATCTTTGAATAGAAATCCTGGTAACATTACATTCTGTCATCTATTCACTCTTGCATTTTTGATAGAAATCTTTGAATAGAAATCCTGGTAACATTACATTCTGTCATCTATTCACTCTTGCATTTTTGATAGAAATCTTTGAATAGAAATCCTGGTAACATTACATTCTGTCATCTATTCACTCTTGCATTTTTGATAGAAATCTTTGAATAGAAATCCTGGTAACATTACATTCTGTCATCTATTCACTCTTGCATTTTTGATAGAAATCTTTGAATAGAAATCCTGGTATTTTGGTATCTCATTCTTGTTGTATTTAAATTGTAAGACTTGTAAAGATGCTTGATGTATGACATTCCATTGGACTTATGCACGGCCCTTACGGACTATTTAGATTTTTTGTATATGTGTATATATTGCTTCCGCACTTGTAAGCCCCATATTTTATACTCTGATTGTGTGTGATTTTGTAAGTCGGCCTTCGGTAACCTCGGGTTACTGGCCATCACGGCACCAAACTACTAGGGGCGGTTTGGGGGCGTGACACACGGGGCACGAGCTAATTTTACACTCCTATCAATGTGCATGTTAGCATGTCAATGTGAATATTTACATTGTCACGGGTCGGGCCAAGCCCGCCTCGGGCTGCGGTCAGGCTTCGGGCAGCCCACGGGCTGCGGGCCAATTTTACACTCTTATCAATGTGAATGTTAACATGTCAATGTGAATATTCACATTGTCAACGGGCCGGGCCGGGCCCACCCCGGGCCGCGGGCGAACTTTTGGCCGTCCATGGGCCGCGGGCCACTTTTATACTCTTATCAATGTGAATGTTAACATGTCAATGTGAATATTCACATTGTCAACGGGCCGGATTGGGCCCGCCCTGAGCCGTCCATGGGCCGCGGGTGGGTTTCGCGCCGCCACGAGACATGGGCCAATTTTACACTCCTATTAATGTGAATGTTAACATATCAATATGAATATTCACATTATCAACGGGCGGGGCCGGGCCGAGTCGGGCCCGCCCGGGACTGCTGTCTAGTTTTATACTCTTATCAATGTGAATGTTAACATGTCAGTGTAAACATTCACATTATCAACAGGCCGGGCCGGGCCCGCCCACGGGCAGTGGGCGGGTTTTGGGCAGCTACGAGGCGCGGGCTAATTTTACACTCCTATCAATGTGAATGTTAACATGTCAATGTGAATATTCACATTGTCAACGGGCCGGACCGGGCCTGCCCCGGGCTGCGGGCGGGCTTTTGGTTGCTCATGGGCCGCGGCCCAATTTTATACTCTTATCAATGTGAATGTTAACATGTCAATGTGAATATTTACATTGTCAACGGGCCGGACCGGACCTGCCCCAAGTCGACCATGGGCCACGGGCGAGTTTCTCGCCGTCACGGGATGGGGGCCAATTTTACACTCCTATTAATGTGAATTTTAACATATCAATGTGAATATTCACATTGTCAACGGGCCGGGCCCGCCCTAGCTCGCGGGCGGGTTTCGGGCCGCCCATGGGCCAATTTACATTCCTACAAATGTGAATTTTAAAATATGAATGTTCACATCATTAAATTGCTAATCGTTGAAAAAATATTTATAAGGGTATCAAAATTAAATATAAGGGTATAAGTGTCCAAAAAAATAGTATAAATCAAAAAAATGGACTTTATGGAATAAAACTATACATACATGGGACTAAATGGGTTAAAAAATTCCTTCATGGACTTCTTAAATTAAAACACTTCTAAATTGGACTTATCAATAAAAATCCCTAAAATGATTTTATTAAAAATAGCTAACTAAGATCCAACATCATCTCACGAATTCAGTCATATCTATTTTGTCGATATGAACCGTTCATCGTGTATAGTTCACCAAACAAATCATTGATATCAAAAATCAAATTGATTGAATATTGATAATAACTAAAATGATTTTAAAAATAATATTTCTATATTTCTCAAATAAATATGATATAATCAAATAATTAACGATATTTCATCAATTTAAATTTTGATATAAATAATCTATCAAGCTAATCCTAAAAAATAAATAATTCATATATCCAAAATAAGCCCGATTATGGGTCCACATAGCCAACAAGGGACCATCCAATCTTTACTTCAAATATGTGAATCCATGATTTTGTTGTAAAAAGTAACGGTTTGAAATTCGCCTGACCATTTATATAAGTAATTACTTATGGAATAATTTGAGAAGTTAGGAACCACACACATGTAGATTTGTGTGAGTTACATCAATCCGTAATATTAGTATCCGCTCTTCAATCTGAGTGATTAATAATGCATGTAAGTATGATGGTATTGGGTTATGCAGCTCTTTTATGTGGATCATTATTATCAGTAGCACTTCTAGTCATTACATTTCGAAAAGACATAAATATTTTTTATAAAAGTAATCATTTATTCAATGACACTCATGTGAGAAGTTTGGTAAAAAATTTAATAAATTATTTAAAAGTCGTTTGGCAAAAGATTTTTGGTTAAAAAAACATAAAAAGACAAAATAAGCTATATAAGTCAATAAGACAAAATATAACTTTTTATCCATAATCATTATTTTTTTTTTCTTACAAAAGTCAAAAAAATCAAATCAAACAAGACTAAAAAAGTCCCAACACAAAAAAAAAAAAAAACAGTTAAAAATGGGAGAAGAGGGATAGAGAGAAAAGGGAAGATAAAGAGAGAAAATGGAGGAGTAAGAGATAGAGAGAGAGAAGAGAAAAGATGAAGAACATGTTATTGATTTGTTGAAGCTGTAAGACCTATGCTATTCTATTCGGCTGCTATCACTCAACCATTTTGTTTGTGTGTCTATCTATATATTGTTTGAAAATAATAATAATAAGTGTGGTCATTATCTATTTTGCTTGATTAAAAAAAAAATATATATATATATATATTTAGACTCTTATTTATTCTCATGTGTAATATTTTAAAAAATTAATAAATACATAAAAATATAAAAAAATGTACTGAATTCTTATATTTTGTTTGTATTTTTGGTATTTAGTGAATTTTTTTAAAAAAAATTTATAATTTTTTTACTTTTTAAGTGTATTTATGTTAGATGTGTCTAAAAAGTAAAAAAAAATGCTTAAAATATTTAAAAAATTCAGTAAAAATAAAAAAACACGAAAAATAAGAAAGTAGAATTTTCTGAAAAGTCTAGACTCAAAATATAATATAACTCACCTTAATATTGATCCTTTGCGTTATCGAAACCTCCCCATTTTTACTGACTTACTTAATAGTGACATACTGTTCTTGAATTTAAACAACCATAAGAAAATACAAACAAAAGTAATAAAATAAGATATTATACGGTTTTAGGTTTGAGTGTAGATTTTATATAGAATAAGAGAAGATACTATGGGGGAGGATGTATAATAAAAATATAGACTATTTGTATACGGTCTGGATCGGTTCTAATCCGGAACCGTGAGGTTCAATCCGGAACCAATCCGTGGACTACGAATTTTTAATTCTTCAATCCGGAACCGAACCGCAGATTCAAAAAACTAATCCAAACCTATCGGATTGGACTGGACTGGATCGGATTACGGATTTCACAGATTCCTTACTCAGCCCTAGAGGTAGAGCTCACATTACTCTTATATTCGGAAGCGGGATCAGTGTTGTGCACCCACCCTGCTGTTTCCTGCAACGCTTTAAAACGAATCCATTTCAACTTCTTCTTTTTTTTTAATTTTTTTTTTTTTAACAAACAAGTCATGGTCACGCCACGGTAGACACAGAGAGAGAGAGAAAGGAGAGCTGGAGAAATCACTCGTCACTATGAAAAATGATGAAGTAATCTAGCGTATTTATGTTGTGGCTTGCCACGGAGAGAGAGAAAGGAGAGCTGGAGAAATCACTCGTCACTATGAAAAATGATGAAGTAATCTAGCGTATTTATGTTGTGGCTTGCCACGGATTTAAATCTAGATGATGTTGTTGAAGATTGAAGTTAGGAAGAAAATTGGTGAGGAAATTAATTTCCAGAAATATACAGTTTTCACATGCTCTATTTTTCAACTTTCCACAGAGTTGGCTTCAACTTGTATATATGTAGACACTCTGAGTTTCAACAGCTTCATTGACCATTGAGATGTCAGTGAACAACCATAGAACAATCAATGCATCTCTGCAAGAAAGACCTCAAGGACAAGGACATAGGCTCACCGGCCGTCAATGGTCGGTTTCATGGAACCACGGGTGCGGTAACCAAATAAATATGGCAATAGAATTAGTTGGCAAGTGGTGTGAGACCCACACCAATCACATAATACATTGGGGCTTGATGGGCCTCCATTTGTTCTTTGATATTACTCTCTGTAATCTTCAACAATTTGAATGTAGGGATGTAAAAATGGCCCGCGGCCCGAAGCCCACCCGCGGCTCGAGATGGGCTCAGCCTACTTGGGTCCAGACCCGAGCCCAGTTCGAGCCCCTGCGCTAAGGCCTGAGCCATTGTTTTGAAGCTCGGCCTAGTCCGTGTAGCTCAGCCCATTGGCCCACTTAAGACCCACTTAGGGCCCGACCAGAAGCCCAACCCGCTCGATTCGCGCCAAGGCCTAGTGTATTTTTTAATGAAAAATAATAAAATTTTGGTAGAAATTTTTTTTTAAAAAAAAAAAATAGTTAGGCATGCCCAAGCCCGACCCAGGCCCAAATACTCATGGGCTTATGCTTAATTTTTTTGGCCCGTGACCCGACTCGAATTTTGACGTGAGCCTGTGAGGCCCGACATAGACTGGGCCGAGCTGGGTCAGATTTACAATCTTATTTGAATGGTATTAGTTGCAATTTGAACATCATTTGCTTCTTGTGACTCACTTTCTTCTTTATCATCATCTTTTTTTTTCCTCTCTAATTTCCTCTCTCTAAATCTCTTTGTCTACTGGGCGTGACCATGACTTGTTTAAAAAGAGAAAGAAAAAGTTGAAACGACACCGTTTTGAGGCACCACGAATAACAGCAAAGAGGGCGCACAACAGTGACCTGCTTCCCCCTCTCCTTGTGAGCATATAAAAATCAGTGTTTCTATAATTTTATTCTATAAAAGTTGTTTTTTTACTCTTTTTTTTTAAGAGTGGAAAGTGAGTTAAAAGATAAGAATTGACTTTTAACCCAATTTCCAAAATAGGCTAAAATCTCCTTGTTTCACTGTATTTTTCTCTCAATAAATTGATCTCGTCATGAGGATAAGTCCACTTTGCCTTTAAACTATATATTTAGATGTGGAGTGTTGACTAATTAAACTGAACTACTGAAGTAGCAGTGGCATGTTTGGCTGTCAAATGCTTGCACGAACGACTTTACTAGTGATTATTTAACCACATATTCACTAATCAGCCACCCCATTAAAGTAATTTACATTATCAAGATTGTAGATGACAATACTAAATAGGCAAGAACAAAAATCATAATGAAAACGTGCTAAAATTTATATAATAATACTCATCATTTTCATATGTTTTATTTTTTGGAATTAAAATACATTTTTAATGTTTAATTTTGTTTCTAATTTTTAAAAATACCTATAGATTCAAGAAACAAAGTAAATCCCACCAACACAAGTAGAGGAAATAACATTCTATCTGATTCCCATAGTCCCGAGGTGGGCAGATTGTCATGCAGCTGTGCAAGTAACCATTAATTGTTCTCACCGATCAAAAAATAATACAGCAAAGATCAAGTTTTTGGCTACAACTTGGCAGAAATTGTTAAGATTTAGATAGGCGAATAATGTTATCATCTTCTCCTACCATCCCGATAAGGGCCCTCGCTTTCCTGATCTTTCAAGAAGCCTAGAAAGGCAAGAAACCCAAAAAAGAAGAACCCACCTGTCCAGCCACCTCCACCACCCCCTCCGCCACCACCTCCATCACCATCATCACGTGGTGGAAATCCACTCCCTCCATCGTCAAGCTCTGGTGACTTCTCCTTGCCTGGAATTCGCTAAACATTATCAGCCATTTCCAATGACACAATCCTCTTTAATTTCAAAATCAATAGAGAGAGAGAGAGAGAGAGAGGATAGTAAATCTTGGAATGGAACTGTCTCAATTTTTTTAGTCCAAAATAAATTCTAAACAGAGAAATAAATCAAACACAGGTCTTGTGGCCTACTGGCATCCAATTGTTCCACAAGGGGCTAGGAATTAGGATGTGGAGGCCTATGCTATAGATGAACCACATAGAGAGATGACAAAATATTAAGCTACACAACTAGTAAATTACAATATGCAGAAAGCATGCAATTGAACAACATCAGTAATGAGAGAACTACCTTGAATAGGAGCGACAGTAATAGTAGATGACTGCCTTGTAACAGTTTGGGTTTGCTCTGCAGCACATGTTGCATTCTGCATGGGAAACAAATCCAGATAAAGACCTAACAAAATTATAAAAATAAAATAAAACACATGTATTCATTTCTTGAAAATGCTGCACTATAATTTCATGACCCCTCCCAACTTTGTTATCCATGTTCTATACAAAGGGCTTGGCCATAAGCAGGTTATAGAAGGATATGCAGCATGTTGAATACAAAACATATAAACTACTGCTCATCCAGAAAAGGCATAAAACATAAACTCAAGCATCCCTAACTCATCAATTTGGGGTTTGCAGCAAACTGTAAGCCAGCTATGCTTCACATATAATATGGAAATAAAAATAAAATTGGATATATTCAATTAGAAGCTTCAGAAGACAAGCTTGCCTTAGCAATACTTGTCAAAAGACGGACTGAAAAAGGTAATACGAATGTCTAATGCAAGAGGTAAACCTGCTTACTGTTCTGTGCTACAAAACAGATGGATCTCATCCAAAAAGCAACAAAGGAGAAAAGTAACCTTTCCAGTTTCTATGATCACTAATTTCATGTTCTAACACAACATTTTTATAGTTTATACTTTCTACAAGTTTGAGATAATGAAAATCACTGGCGCAGTCAAGTTGCTGACAATGTATGAGCATAGAAATCAACTAGAAACTTTGCGAAGATAAACTCACCAGAGCAGCAGCGCATATTATTGAAGCGGACCTCATTTGAACAGCATGCGTAATGGGTCTTCTTTTGTCAAAGGGCTGACACTGCAGGCCAAGTGGTCTAAGCTCCAATGGAAAAGAACAGGTTGGCTTGGTCTGCCTCCTACACTGGCTCTCTGATCTCACTGTATGAAGAAGTAACAACGATTTAGCACCATATGTGAAATCAATATCCACAAAATCTCCTAAACAAAATAGGATAAAGTACCAATTAGCACACAGACATGCAAGTTGTAAAATTTATTTTTCCATAATAAATATGAAATGTTCACCAATCACCATTGGTCTTTGTAATAAAAGATTACACAAGAGACAGAGACAGAAGGATGGGGGATTCTTAAGAAAGCTATTTCCGTTTCTACTATTCTGAAGTTCTTCCTTACTTCCTACCTTCTCATTCATCTTCAACCCCCCCCTCTACCTCCAAATTTGACCCCTAATTAAATAAAAACCATTTGAAATTTTTATCTTGGATTCTTCAATAGTCTCCCAGCTGATTTGTTCCAATTTTTTACTTGAAGTTTAGGAGACTAGTTTAGTGTTAAGGCAGAAGCAAACCAGCCCCAAATTAAATACCCAATATAAATATGTTGCACAAAATATTATTACATCTCTGAAAACCAGCAGTACTAATATTAAAATAAAACACATTAGAGATAAAATTTGAGCCACGAGACATATAGCAATGGAAACACATTGATCTGTGGGGAGGGAGGGGGGGGTATTAAGATGTTTTAATGACACCTTCGAAAATGCGAGACTGCTGAAATGTCTAAGAGCCTTTTTTTCTTCTTCTACTATACGCTTTATGCTATGGATCAATGCTTTCAAAAGAATGCATAGTTGCCACCTCATACATCCGTGTCAAACTTTGTTACCCATCAATTCAAATTATCAAATGTGTTCATTACTTGATAAATAAAATAAAGAGATTCAAACATTTTCCCATGATTATAAGCAAACAGAATTAAATAGCTATCCACACACCTGATGGTATAGTTGCTGGGGTAGCAATAGTACTTGCAGTCAGTGAAGACATCCTGGTGCAAATCATAGATTGACCTGAAAGTTGGAAATTTTCTTTCTTAACAATGATAATTGACACATATATACATATTCATGTAAATGCAAGTTGATGAGGACTAGATGGATGTGATAATTGAATTATACAGGTGTGTTCGGAGACTAAGCAGTGAACACTAAAAAATTGTGAAAGCCCCTTTCTTGTTCAGTCAAGCTGAAATAAAACCCGTGTTTGGATTTGTGAATTGATAACCAATAAAAGTTGGATCACCAAAAATGATGAAACAACAATGCTCAAGAAAATTTCAGATTACACAATCTAAAACACGGTAAAATAATTTGTTCCGAACATTTTATATTGGCATCAAAACTAAACTCCCCAAAACTTTTCATTTTTCTATCCTTTTTTCTTTAATAGTACAAATTAGGTTAAATTCCCAGTGAAAATAGGTATATCTCCCCCGTAAAAAATAGATAGGCAATAGAGAGAGAGAGAGAGAGATTTTAGTCTGAATTTTTTTCCCGGGAAACAAGCAAACCAGCAACATAAAGAGCGATAACAATTGGATGGTTCGATTCGTACCTGTAATCGTATGGAGAAAAGGAATGAATCAAAACGGAGCTGAGATATATGTGAGATGAGAAGAGAGGGTCTCCCTCCCGTCGTCAATGGAGGTTTCGGGGGGAGAGAGAGAGAAGTTCACACAAGGTCGACGAAGACGATGAAGAAGACGACGTCGTCTCGGTCAACATAAAACAAATAGATTCATACTCGTTAATTGAAATTTCAGAACAAGCAAACCATTCTGAAAATTACAATACACAATAAAATAAAATAAATAGAAAAGCAAACCGAAACCTACACTAGGTAGTGTCCTTAATTTTTTTAAATAAATTTTAAAAAAATTAGATATGCATAAAATTTGACAAGAATAATGTGACAATATTAATTAATGTGTATTTGATTTTATTGTTGAGCCAAATAAAATAAAATGAGATTGAATGTATATTTAGCTTTAGTTGTGAAAAAATAAAAAATTGGTTGTGAACCTTAAAAAAATTTAAAAAAAAAAAAAGATTAAATGTATATTTAGCTTTGGTTGTGAATCTTGAAAATTAAAAAAAAAAAAAATGGTTGTGAACCTTAAAAATAAAAAATAAAAAAAGATTGGAGGTATATTTAGCTTTGGTTGTGGATCTAAAAAAAATAAAATAAAATTAGTTGTGAACCTGAATAAATAAATAAATAAAAAACATTGAATGAATATTTAGTTTTGGTTGTGAATCTTAAAATATATATATATATAGGGAAATTAGTGGGTACCCATCCCCAACTCATCCCCTGTGGATATTTAAAGAATATCACTTACCCTATCCAATGGATAAGAAAAATAGGAGAAAACCCATATATTTAGGTTGGGTCTCCATGAATACTCACAGGATAAGTTATCCATTGCCATCCCTACGCACGCTTGATGGTTAACCGCCACGGTAATGTATAAAGAAAGACCGACCTACCCTCCAAACTTGGGCTTTGTTTGCTTTTAAGTATCCTCTTGTTCTTCAATTTTGGCCTGTTTGACGAAACTAAATTCAGGTCTCCTTTGGTAATATTATTTTTTAATTTAAAAGATAAAAAGTTATTAATCAAAAAATTAATAATTTATATCAAAAAATTAATGATTTTATTTTCTTTCTACTTTTTGTATATTTTTTCGTAAAAAATCAAAAAATCATCTCAAGTATATTAATTTTTTCAACATCATATTTTAGCTAAAAAATCAAAAAGTTACTTAAAAAAATTTATTCCCAAGTAAGGCCTCAGGTTTATGGTCCACAACCTTAAATAAATAAATAAAAACTACCCCAAAACACTCTAAATAAAAATATATATAAATAAAAACCACAACTTTGGCATCTAGCTAAAAAAATTATATTTGTTTTCAATTTTTTTTTTTGTATTTAATGGGTTTTTTTGGGGGGGTTGTGTAAATAAATTTAAAAAGTAATTTTTTTTTATAAAAAGATTCAAAAAAAAATCACTAAAGATAATATTAAAAAAAATCCAAAAAATCAACTATTTGCTTCTTCAATTTTTTTTTTTTTGGTCCTTTCAAAAAAAATTAAGGCTCCGTTTGGTTAGGGTTTCAAGTTATAGTTCCGCCCATTGATTTGAGTGTATTGTTTATTTTGAACTTTCAAATTATAATTTTACACCTATTTCTCAAAACTCAATTCAAAATATAATCATTACTTTCCAAAACTTATAACCAAACAAATAATTCAAAACTCTTTTCAAAACTTAATTCAAATCAATATTTTAAATATTTTAATATTTTAAAAATATTTTAATTTTGTTAAGATTTTAAATATTTTAATATTTAAATATGTTACGATTTTTCGATTCTCATTTTTGAAAATTTAAAATATTTTATTAAAATAAATTCAAACACTATTTTATAAAAATATTTTTAAATAATTTAATTTTTTTGTTATGTATTTGGTTACGATTTAGGTGTAGAGTTGTGAAAGTAGTATGGTTTCGAGTTATGCATTTGTTTATGAGTTTTAAAAATAATTTCAAATTTGACTTTTGTTTTATGTGTTTGGTTACGATTTGAGTGTAGAGTTGTTTTTAAATTTAAAATATTAACATTTTAAATTATTTAAATTTTTTGAATATTTAAATTTTTTAAATTTTTACGATTTAAATTTTTTGAATATTTATTTAAATTTTTTACTTATTAAATTTTTTAGATTATTTAAATATTTATGATTTAAATTTTTTGAATATTTATTTTGAAAAAAAAAATTATTTCCTTTGTAGGATTTTCAATTAAAAAATTGATTAATGTTATTTTCTGTTAATAATAAATTTTCAATTAAAATTATTTCCTTTTTTTAATTGAATTTTAAAAAAAGTTTGGTTATGAGTGTTGATCAAAATTTTCAATTGTGTGAAAGTAGTGTGCTTTGTTATGAGTTATAACAATTTGAATTAAGTTTTGAAAATTCTTTCCAAAACTCATAAGAGCATCTCCAACGGTGAACTTCTTTTTTCATCAAATCTAAGGAAAAAAAAGAACGATTTTCTCAATCTGATACGTGGCGCTCCAACGGTTGCACTTAGTTTGCATCAAAATGCTAGGAATGTCCAGAGTAAGAAGATAAAGCCATGGTAATGGTGAATTTGGAGTTGTTTAGTCTGGTTGATTTTCTGCACAACAGGTATGCATGAGTGAAGAACCAGCAGTGGAGTACCACCTCTGCACAACAGGTTGGTTTTTGAGCATTGAAGACCCAGCTGATCAAGCTTCGATTCGTTGAAGACGTCAGCAACGAGGCCGACTCCTGTGATCGATAGGGTAAAGCAGATTGAAGCAGATGGTGGGTCAACCCGTTGGTCGACCAGTTAGTGTATTTTTTTTAATTTTTTTTACCTCTTCGAACCTTTTGACCTGTTTGAACCAAAATATTTGCAAGGGAACCGGTCCACTAGTTGGTCAACCGGCTGGTCGACCGGTTGTCTCCCCCAACGGTAACGCACAATGAAATGGTAAAATCTTGAGCCTATTTTCATTTTGGTGAAACTTTTGGTGAATTCTCGATTTGATATTGATTTGGTGAAATCGTTGGAGCACCAAAAAACCACTTTTTCACCAAATTTTAAATCTGATACCAAGTTTGATGAAGCGCTGGAGATGCTCTAACTAAACAAATTTTCTTACTTCACATGTCAAATCAAACTTTCAATACTCAATTCCACACTTAATTCAAAACTCTCATCAAAAACTATAACTAAACAAATTTTTTACACTCAAATCATAATTCCACAACTCACAAACTCAAAATACAACTCATACTCTCAAATCATATTTACAAAACTTTACCAAACGCAACCTAAAATTTTCCCCTAATTTTCTAATTGAGCAGAACTCTAAAGTGTAATTTTTTTAAAAAAAATTAAATTAAATTTTTTATTAAATTAAAGATGAACAAAATAACAAAATAACAAAAAATCCACGAAAGAATCAACCCAAACACCCACTTAGGCCTGGTTTGGGAACATGTTAATTTAGTAATTTTTTGGCTATTTGGCTAAAATATAAACTAAAAAAAATTAGTATATTTGGGATGACTTTTTGGCTTTTTACGAAAAGATGTGCAAAAAGTAGAGAGAAAAGAGAATCTTTGATTTTTTGGTATGAATTGTTGACTTTTTAACTAATTTAATAACTTTTTGACTTTTTAACTAAAATGGAGAGTTTCCAAACGAGGCCTTAATTGGTTTCAGTCTCAAATGTTTCCTGAATGTAATACGAGAAGTTTAAATTTGCTAAAAAATAAAAATAAAAAATAAAAAAGGAGAAGTCGACCTGTGGATAAAGATGTTGGATAAGATTATTTATTTTATTCCTAATACAAGTTATTTTATAATTGGTTTGAATTTTATGACTTACAACAATTTATTTGGGGGTATTTTCATAGGGTATTGGGGGTATAATTTATTCCAAGAGAGTTGGGAAAAATTATTTTATTTATTTAATTTAGGCAAAATGACTAGGGTGGTGTTTGATAAGTGATTTTGGGGCTAAAATAGTCAAAAAAATAAAATAAGTTATTTTAGTCACAACAAATAAAACATCACATCCAACTCATAATCATTACATTATTCTCTCACAAAAAAAATTAAAAAAGTCAAAAAGTCATTCCCAAGCCAAGCTTTTTAACACAAGCTAAAATAATAAAAAAAAAAGCTAAAAAGTCAACCCACTTCCCAAACGAAAAGTATTCGTTTGGTAAACATTTTGGAGCTAAGAGCATCCCCATCTCTCTTCCTAAACCCACTCCTTACCTATTTTAAGGGGTTAAAATCTCTTTATACACCTCCATCAACTCCTCTAAACAATTCCTTAAATTAATTTTTACTACAATAACTCCCTATTTGAAGGAAGTCACCGTAACTCTCTTATATTATATTTATTATTATTATTATTTTTGCTTTACTTTGTTTAGGGATTGCAGTACATATATATGATTTTTATTTTTTAAAAAATTTATAATTAAAAATTATATTTTAATAAAATAAAGAAAAAAAATTTGTTAATAGAATAGAAAAAGAATAAGGAGTCTGTTAAGGGAAGTAGATAAAAAAGTAATTCTTAAAATGGGAAAAGAATTTTTTAATAATATTTTTGGATAAAATTTAAGTAATCTGTCAAGGATGTTCTAAAAAAGCACACAAAAAGACAAAATAAACTATATAAGCCCATAAGACAAAATGTCACATCCAAATCATAATCATTATACTTTAAAAAAAAAAATCAAAAAAGTCAAAAAATAAAAGTCAATGAAACTAAAAGTCTCAACACAAAAAAGTTAATTACCGTAATCAATGTCAAACAAAGCTTAAAGTACCATTGAAACAACTTATCCTGGAAACAGTTGGCTTAGACATCATTAACAAAAAAGATTCAACGTACCACCTTCTTCTGCTAACACAGAGAGAGAGAGAGAGAGAGAGATTTTGGAAGCCAAAGCAGGAAAGCCAATTACATAAAATACAAACAAAATATTTCCCTCCATTAGGAGAATACAAACACAAATCAGCTAGGAATCCCATCAAAACCACCTGTTTTTGGTGAAATTCCTACTTCTGCCTCTTATATATCTTCGCCAAGAACGATTTCAGCACTGCTTGCACTGCTTTACTAGCATGAGCTTCAATGGACTTGACTAGCTTCTCGTAACTCTTGCTCTCATACTCTGCAAATACACCCTATAACAAAAATGAACAAAGACAATTCATAAATGAAATGTTGCAGTTTCAACACCCTGCATGTGCAAATAATGTGTTTTTTTCCCCCACCAAACTAGTTTTTTTTTTTTCTTTCAGAAAACATATTGTAAAAATATCACAAGCGCGAAGGCTGGAGAAAAGACACCTGAAGATTGAGAGCTTCATAAAGTTCCTTCACTTTTGCCACACATGTTGGATCGTCTTTTCCATAGTTCTCCTGAAAACAAAAGACTCAGAATAGATGAGCGAATACAGTAGCTGTTAGATCAGAGACTAATTCATAAGAAGGTAATGTCTTCCTTACATATAACAACTTTTTTTGTTCCTCGTTACAAAGTTCCAATGCTTTTACAACCAACCAGGAACACTTAAAATCTTCAATATCTGTTCCAATCTGACAAAGCAAAATATCAAAGATTTTTAGCTCTCCATAAAAACAAATCAGCGATTGGTAGTCAACAACGATCGAACTTACCTTGCCAATCACATCAGGATGACCAAAACAATCTAGGTAATCATCCTACAAAATATATCAGCAGATTATTGATTATCAGGCCCACAGTCCAAATTTTCAGGAAAGGAAATAAATAATTGCTTTGTATGAGAAACTTCAAATCTCAAAGCAATATGGTGTTTTGAGTTTCTTTCAGATATCGCAAGGTTTCCTTTGCATTCCAGTTATTCTTGAGAATAATAAGAAACGATAACTATTGAAGGTGATAACACTTGCCTGCACTTGAAAATAGGTTCCCATTTCAATGAGTATGTTCTTCACATCAGTATGATTGTCCAGATTCTCGCCTGCCATAAGCAGTGCACATGCCACCTGGATGCATATGGCAATCACAAGCAAATTAAAAAGGAGTACTCTTGATACGGTTCCAGGAAACATAGAACTCTGTAGGTCTGAGTTTTCAGATCACATGCTGTTACTTTGTAAATGAGGCATCAACAATGCTTGTCAAGCATTTATCAGACTTGAATGTAATTTAAACACTGAAAAGAAAAACAATATATGTCCTTTTTCTCTTCTTAGTAGGGTCATGCGATTCTTGAAACCATGGCCATTAAAAAAAAGGACCTAATGAGGAAGTAAAATTATTTTCGAGTTAACAAGTCCCATATTTACATATAAAGCATCTTCAGTTGAGAACTTCTTCAAGACAAAAGATAATTAGAAATAGGAACCATAATCATCCTTCATACAGAACAACATGAGTTATGAACATTAGAAGAGGAGAATTTTTACTCACTGGCAGGTAAAATGAGTAGTAAGCAGTTTTGTACTGAACAATCCGATGGTGACTGCAAGAAAACACAATCATTTTTATACTTAACTAAAACACGGATTTAGACATCAAATCAGTTTGAAAACAAAATTAGGAAGAAATAAAACCATTTAAAATTCTCACTTACAGAGGCAATGAATACTTCGATAAATCTTTCTCTCCCTCAAGTGTGGTGATCAAATCTATCATCTGTCCACAGGCTGTCTGAAATTCCACCTGTTCAAACATGGTCAAGATTAGTTGTGAGTATAGAATAGAAATGAAAACTCATTCATCCTCTTCTATGCAAACCTCATTAAATAAATCCAGCAAATCCACATAATAAGGCTTTCCTCTGAAATGCTTTTTGAGAATTCTTGGGATATGGTTGCGGAGAATTATGCCATCATTGATGGCAATCATACCAACCTACAACAAAAACTTCAGAAGTTAATAACTCAGTCCAATCAAAATAACAATGATAAACATGTTAGTTAAGCAAAACAGAAAAGAGGAACCTAATTTCCAACTATAGACTCGCATACCTTCGGCTTTCTGAACCAACACGGTTGACCTCGGCGTGTATGAGAGCTATCCATAATATCATCCAGAACAAGAAAATATGCTTGAAGCTGCAAGAATCGTTGTCAAGACTGTCCAAATTAATATGCAACATAAAGTGAACTATAAAAATATTGAATTTGGCAAAAAAAATGCAGAGTAGGGCCACAAACAGGAAAGATGTTAGGCAGCCATACCCATTCAATGCACCACCCAAGCGCGCAGGCTAGAAAAACTTCATCATCAGTTAGTTCCTTTCCTTCTTTCAGCAACTTGTAGCTGTCAATAACAGAGAGGCCTCGGTTCAACTTTCCTGCAGACAAAACAAAATCAGTATATGCTATTGAACTAACATAATCTTTTAAATTTATTTAATTCCAGTTCCATGAAACGTAAAGTTCTTGCACAACCAGGTCATCAAATTGAAGCAGAAAATTTCTTAACATAAAATGATACTATTTTGTTCCAACCTCCAGGTACATTGTAGTCCAGCATCTGCAACAAAAGGAGCACAGAACTATGATTAAGACACAGAAACGGCAGTAGTTTCATGAAATGGGTAAATAAACAGTAGAGCTCTAGAAGACAAATGATCAAAATCATAAAGGCTAATGCACATTAGACAGACAAAGATATATCAATAAGTAAACAGATACATACAACCGTTAAATTCAATGCCCGATTAAATTCCTTGAAGCCATTCCTATTAAAAAATATCATAGGATGCATAAATCTTCATTCTTGCATCAATGCAACCAAATTGACCACACCAATTGGAAATTTCCATATCAATCCTGACGGGGTTAACAAGTTATTGCTAGATTTACATTCCACAAGCATGCATTCAAACTAACAATTTCCCGGGGTTAACAAGTTATTGCTAGATTTACATTCCACAAGCATGCATTCAAACTAACAATTTCCCACAGAGTAGTCAAACATTCATGGGCAATTCAAAGTTCTGGTTTTCCTTTCCGCTGCCCTCAATGTTTCCCACTTCTTTTCATGGTGAACTGCAATAAACCAATGGAGTTTTATTTGTTGAATTGGGCATTTAAGTTTGAGGAGAGATTAAGGGCCTGTTTGGTCGTGTTTTCCTAGAAAAACACGTATAAATTTGTTTGGAGAAATGTTCTTAAAAACTGTCTTCAAGAATGATTTTTGAAAAAAAACCCACTTTTTAGGAATATTAAAAGTTGTTGGGTCTGTTAGGATTAGGCACACCCAGAAATCAATCACACAGAAAAAAGAGACAAGATATTTACGTGGTTCGGCAATAGCCTACGTCCACAGGAGAGATATCACTATAACATTTTCCCGGAGGGAGTTCACAACACACACCTCACTCTCTCTCTATAGCACTCTCACTCACAGATTACACTCTCTGCTCTATCTTTCTCTTTCTGATGAACTAACTCAGCTCACCTCTTTCCATTTTATATACAAACGGGAGGGAACAAAGTCAAGAAAAAAAGTTAATGGGCTGGCTGCCACCTACCATTCCCTCCTACTTCTTGACTTGGAGAGCCAACCAGCCAACCTCCAACTACTCCTCTATGTGGGCTGGAGTTAACAATTCTCTCCCTCTACGCCCATATGGATAACTGACTTCTTACTTGAAGTTCATCCTGATCAGATTCTTGCAAACTTCCAGTTTGTCTCTGGTGACAACCTTGGTCATCATGTTAGAAGGATTCTTGTCCGTGTGAATCTTTCCCGGCTTCATCAGCTGCTTTTCCATCACTTCTCGTATCCAATGATACCGGACATCAATGCACTTTGTACACGAATGCTACATGGAATTCTTACTTAGATCAATTGCACTTTGACTATACAATGTACCTTGTACTTTTCCAGCTGTGGACCCAATTCTTAGAGAAACCGCTTTAACCACAACATTTCCTTTCCAGCATCTGCGGCAACAATGTACTCTACCTCTGTTGTAGATAAAGCAAAATACTCTTGTAGTTTGGACTACCATGAAATAGCTCCTCCTGCAAAGGTGAATAAAAATCCTGATGTAGACTTTCTACCATCAAAATCCCCTGCCATATCGGCATCTGTAAAAAACTCCAAAATTGGTTCAGCTCTCCTAAAACATAGACACATCTTTGAAGTTCCCTGCAAGTACTGAAGAATCCATTTGACTGCCTCCCAATGCTCCTTTCCTGGATTGGCGAGGAATCTGCTCACAACGCCAACTGCGTAAGCTATATCTGGCCGGGTACACACCATTGCATACATCAAACTTCCTACTGCGAAAGAATAAGGGATTGTCTCCATTTCTTTCCTTTCAGAGCTGGTCGTGGGACACGAACGCTTTGTCACCTTGAAATGGTTGGCCAGTGGTGTGCTGACTGGCTTGGCATTTTTCATGTTGAACCTTTCAATCACCCGTTCAACATATTTCTCTTGTGACAGCCATATCTTCTTGGCTTTCCTGTCACAAACAATCTTCATGCCCAAAATCTGCTGTGCTGGGCCTAAATTCTTCATGTCAAAATACTGCGACAAGTCCTTTTTCAACTTGTTGATCATAGTAATATCTTGTCCGATGATCAGCACATCATCGACATACAACAGTAGGATGATGAAGTTTTCATCCAAAAACCTTCAGAAATATATACACTAGTCTGCTACCGTTCTTGTGTACTTGTGATCCACCGTGAATGAATCAAACTTACCATTGTCTCAGCGCCTACTTTAGGCCATAAAGACTCTTCTTCAGTTTCGCAGACTAGATTCTATTTCCCTTTAACTTCAAATCCTTTTGGTTGCTCCATATAGATCTCTTCCTCCAAGTCACCATGGAGAAAGGCAGTCTTGACATCCATCTGTTCTACTCCAGATTCAAGCGAGATGTTAATCCTAAAGCTACTCAAATGGAAGTCATCTTCACAACTGGAGAGAAGATCTCATCAAAATCAATTCCTTTTTTCTGTCCAAAACCTTTGACCACCAAGCGAGCTTTATACCGCAATATTTTACCGTTGTCATCTTTCTTCAATTTGTACACCCATTTGTTTTTCAATGCCTTCCTGTCCTTTGGAAGTGAAACAAGCTCATAAGTGTGGTTCTTCTGCAAAGAACTCATCTCCTCATTCATGGCTTGCATCCAGCAATCTTTCTTTATATGACTCTTTGCTTCCGAAAAACTCTCAGGCTCCCCCTCATTATAGCATCTCCAACGGTTCATTATAATTTTCACCAAATCTAAGTAAAAAAAAGGCTGATTTTCTCAATCTGATACGAGTAGCTCCAATGGTGTGCATCAAAAGCGAAAGGGACGTTTGGTGGGTCGACCGGTCGGTCGACCAGTTAGGCTTTTCAAATTTATTTTTTTCCCTCCCTTTCTGTTCCCAATCTCTCCCTCTCTCTCTCTCTTCTCCACAAACCTTAAAGTCTCTGGTCTTTTCCATCTCCAATCTGTCCTTCTCCGTCCCTCTCTCCCCTCTGCTTCTATTCAATGCAAACTGAACCCAAGAAAGATAAGGGCTTGGTCTCATGGACACTTTTGCAACTTTAACCCCTCCTCACATCCCCAAATCTCCACTACCAACTCTTTCTCCACTTCACTAGTTTCAGCAAGTTCAAACCCTCTTCAATTTCTCTTTCTTGCAGACCCATTAATAGTAGCTACTCTAATCCTCAAAAACCAATTCAAAAATGCAAATTTCCCAACAAACCCGCCTCTCCCTTTTTGGATTTGTTCAACAAAATCAAAGATAGTAATAAGTTGAAACACTCTTCAACAACCTCTGTTTCTTGCATACCCAATCATAGCTCAAACCCACAAAACCCAATTTCAAAATGCAATTTCTCCAACACACCAACCTCTTCTTTTCCAATTTGCTCCCAGCTCTATACAAAATCAAAGGTTTAGCCTCTTCCAAGAAATGGATCTCTATTTTTCCAGGCTCTAATGGTGGGTCAGAGGGCTATTTGCAGAACGGAGGGTTTGGTGTGGCTTTGTTGAGCGTGACCACGACGGCGAGAGTCCGAATCAGCCCTTTTGTGGCGACTCTAGCGGCGAATCCAACGTTCGTTTCGGATTTGTTTGCTTGGATGATTGCTCAACCGACGAAGGTGATATTGAATTTCTTTGTGGAGAGGAAGTGGGATTTGAGGATTATGTTTGCTTCAGGAGGAATGCCTTCGTCTCACTCTACAGAAAATAAACCAGTTCGCAGATTGAGGAAGCCAGTCGACCGGTGGGTCAATCGGCCGAATGTCCGGCTGGTTGACCGGTTGGCCCACCCCAACGTTACAACACAGTGAAATGGTGAAATTTCGTGCTTATCCTTAGTTTGATGAAAGTTTTGTTCCGTTCTCAGTTTGATATCAATTTGGTGAAACCATTGGAGAGGGAAAAAGTGACTTTTTTCATCAAATTTGAATTTGATGCTTAATCTGATGCAACGTTGGAGATGGCCTTAATAATCAAAATATACTGAGAAGCAGGATATTTGGTTGATGGTATGGCAGCCCTTCCAGATCTCTGCAACTGAGGCCCGGTTGCCTCTGGTTGAGGGGATTGCTCCCCCTGCTCAACACCCTCTTCATTCGGGTCTTCATCTCTTTACTCCTGATCCTTAATTTCTGGCATAAGATTCTGCAACTCTGGCACTTCTTGTTGCACATCATCACATCTAGCATTTTCTGATGGCTCAAGAGATGGGAACAAGTCTGGACTGATGACATCTCTAGACTTTGCAGACTTCTCAAAATCTACTACTGTCTGGTCTTTCTGGAACATATCTCTGCTCTTGAACATCTTCTTGTTCACTGGGTCCCACAACTTGTACCCAAATGCTGCATCTAAAAAGCCCATAAATATACATGGAGTGGATTTATCATCAAGCTTCTGTCTGTTTTTCTTGGAGATGTGTGCGAACGCCTTACACCCGAAGACTCTTAAGTGAGAATATTATACCTTTCTTCTGGACCAGACTTCCTCAGGTATCGCAAAATTCAACGGGACTAAAAGCGACCTGTTGATGAGATAACAGGCTGTATGGGCGACTTCAGCCCAAAATGACTTTGGCAACTTTGCCATTCTAAGCATGCATTTGACCCTTTCAATAATAGTGCGATTCATCCTTTCTGCCACACCATTGTGTTGTGGGATACCGAGAACTGTTGTCTCGTGCTGGATATTTCTACTGGCACAATATGCTTCAAAAGCATTGGAAGTGTACTCGCGACCATTGTCTGTGCGAAGACACTTCAACTTCTTCCCAACCTCTCTTTCCACCATTGCATGAAACTCCTGAAAGTACTGGAATACCTCATCCTTCGTCTTCAAGAAATACACCCACAACTTCCTTGATGCATCATCAATGAAGGTCAAAAAATACTTGCGGCTGCCAAGTGACTCCACTTCGATTAGGCCACAAACATCCGAGTATACCATAATGAGCACTTATGTTTTCCTCTTGCTCGTTGAACTGAATGATACTTAATGCTGCTTGCCGTAAAGGCAATGATCACATGGCATCAAGGCACTCCTTTTGGATAAGGATATCTTGGATTGCTTTGCCAACAGATGCAATCCCTTCTCACTCAAGTGAGCCAGTCTTTTGTGCCATAAGTCCGGTGACTCCTTGTCTTCTGCTGCATTAAGACTTTCCAAACAGATCTTCGTTTGAGTCTTGTACAGTGTTGAAGACATCTCTCCTCTGGCAATTGTCAAAGCTCCTCCTATAAACTTCCAACAACCATTTCCGAATGTATTTGTATAGCCTTGTTAGTCGAGGGCACTTCCGGAGATAAGATTAAGGTGCAAATCTGGAACATGCCTCACATCTTTGAGAATTAGCTTGTGTTCGACATCAGTCTGACCACTAATGTCTCCAATACCCACAATCTTCGAATAGCTAGAAATCCCCATTCAAATAGTGCCAAAATCTCCAGCGTCGTACGAGCTGAAGAGTTCTCTATAGGAAGTGGCATGATATGATGTAGTTTTGTCTACCACCCATTCTGTGTAACTGTGGTCAGCCACGTGTAGACAATCTTCCTCTTCACCAACTGCAAGAAGTATTTCATCAGTTGTTGTGGCCGTCGTGTTCTCTTCTCCTTTTGACTTATTGTTTTGGCCTCTATCTTTTCGGTTTGGACAGTTCCTCTTTATGTGACTCTCCTGGCCACAGTGAAAGCAAGTGAAGCTAGAGTTACTTTGACTTTTACTGTCTCTGGATTTGCTCATGTTGTTCCATCTGTCTCTACTCTTGCTTCTTCTTCTTCCTTTACCTCTGTCTCTGCTTCTATCTTCTGTGACAAGAGCATGAGACTGATTACCTCCCATATCTTTCCTACTTGTCTCTTCATTATACATGACGTCTGTGACCATGCTCGTGGTCAGCTTCCCCTCTGGTGCAGAGTTGCAAAAAGAAACTACCGTTGTCTCCCAGCTCTCCGGTAAAGAACTGAGCAGTAGTACAACTTGCATTTCATTGTCCAAGGGCATCTTGACGGTTGCAAGTTGATGCACCAGATTCTTGAATTCACTTGCGTGCTCGGCGACAGACACACCATTCTTCAACTTCAGATTTACAAGCCTTCTCATTGCCAAGGCTTTGTTTCAGGCAATATTTGACTGGTACATTCTTTCTAACATTGTCCAGAGGACATATGCATCTGTCTCTTAGGTGACATGGTGGAACACACTGTGGTATATCCATTGTCTGATACAACCGACAGTCTTTCGGTTCATTTTTATCTAGTCTTCATCCTTCACTTCTTCCGGTTTAACCCCTTTTAGAGCAATGGGGACAAACAGGTCTTTATAATATAGGATGTCTTCCATCCGCGACTTCCAAATTGCATAATTGGAAGGATTCAACTTGATCATAGATCCTGAAGTTGATGTGATTTCCTCCATCATCTTTTTTACTTTTTACAGAAACTCTGATTCAAAAATCTGACCGTATGAATCTCTCCGGAATACTCCAAATAGTTGGAAACCACTATTGGATCACCAAAATCGGACTTCAAATGGCTCAGATCTAGCCAAAATAAGTTCGATATTTCAGATCTGCGAATGTACCTTAGCCGCGTAGCACCGGATAGCTCTCTACCTCTGGGTCGGGTCGGGTCGGGTCGGGTTAACCCGGCGGTTTGGCTAGCCAGCTGGTATGCCGGTGTGGCAGACATGTGGCGATGACATGTCGCTGACGTGGTGATGATGTGTCAGTGACGTGGCAATGACGTGGCGATGATGTGTCAGTGACGTGGCGATGATGTGGTGATGACGTCACCATCACGCACAGAGGACTCTCCTTCTTCCTTCTGCCATGCGTCGGGTGCATGTCTGAGACTGGTGTAACGCGCCAATACTGTCAACGGCGCGTGTGGCATGTGTCTGAGATTGAGACTCATGCGTTATCTTTTGGTGGCGCGTGGAAGCTTGTCTGGGGCTCGGCTTTGCAGTTTTGGACTCCTCTCGTCAAGAGCTTCCTTCCTATATGCTCAAATATGAATTTCAAGCAACTTGATTTCTGGGCAATTCTGAAAAACACATCCTGTTTTTCCGAAAAATCGACCAATAAGGCTCTGATACTACTTGTTAGGATTAGGCACATCCAGAAATCAATCATACACAGAAAATAGACAAGATATTTACGTGGTTCAGCAATAGCCTACGTCTACGGGAGAGATATCACTATAGAATTTTCCCGGAAGGAGTTTACAACACTCACACCTCACTCTCTCTCTCTATAGCACTCTCACTCACAGATTACACTCTATGCTCTGTCTTTCTCTTTCTGATGAACTAACTCAGCTCACCTCTTCCCATTTTATACACAAACGGGAGGAAACAAAGTCAAGAAAGAAGTTAATGGACTGGCTGCTACCTACTATCTTCCCTCCTACTTCTTGACTTGGAGAGCCAACCAACCAACCTCCAATTACTCCTCCATGGGGGCTGGAGTTAACAGGGTCATGCCAACAAGTGCCTTAGGGTACAAGGCAAAATATTTGAAGAACACAACCCGTTTCATTAAATCCAATACCGTTTTATTGAAATCAATAACATTTTTACATATTTCTAAAACACGTTTTTACACACTTTACAAGATTAAACAACACCCATGTGGGCACTTGTTAGCATTTGCCAAAGTTGTTTTGTATTTCGAAAACTGTTTTGCACAAAAATGAAAACAATGGGTGTTTCCCAACTATTCATTGTTTTTATTTCTAAAAGAGTGCGAAAAAGAGAAAAAACCCAAAACAATGAAAACAAAAATATAACCAAACACGGCATCAGGGTGTGAAAACATGAATGCCAGTTACAAAGCGTGAATCGAAGTGCTCATCTTTCTGTTTTGACAACTAACTTTGATCACAACAATTAAAATTCCAAGAAGACAAAATATTAAAGCTGTATTCGGTTGGGGGGATTTGAGAAGGGATTAGGAAAGAAAAACGGAAAAGGTAAAGCTCAAATCTACCAAAATGTAAGCATTAACATTCCAAGATCGAATCTTCTGAAGTAAACCATCCCCAAATTATTTACAATTAAAAAAGCAATTGAACAATACAAGTCAATAACTACAAGAAATGCATAATTGAACTCGGTTAATACACATATACTACTAAAGAATGAATCGGCAAACTCACATAGAAAGAAAATGAGAGAATTGATAGAGAGAGGGTTAGAGAAGTCAAATTATACAGAAAATTCTTACTCGGTCGACCCATTGGCGGGAATCATCAGTGAACTCGAAAGCAGAGTCATGGAGTAGCTCCGATTTAAGGACGGAGTAAACTTCGAGAAATTTCGATTTCAGATCGGTCATTGATTCAGAGAGAGAGAGAGAGAGAATGAGATGCTAATCCTCAGAGAGAGTGCGTTGTCTGTTGTCGTTGTGTTTTATCGGAGAGTGCTGCTAATGAAGAGCATGTTGACATGTGTACTTGTTGTAGGGAGAGGAGCACAAAGGGGGAAACGACGCCGTCTTTACATTGGAATCACTTTTTTTTTTTTTTTTAATTTTTAATTTTTTTAAACTCCTTAAATAATGGGAATAATATATACAATAATATTTTTTAATTGGATCCAACTTCTTTTTTAATTTGGGAACACTTAAAAAAGTGGAATCTTTTTTAAAATATTTTATTTTTATTTTTAGTATTTTTTTAAAATTATGTTAAAATTTTTTACTTTTCTAAGCTATCTTGCAAACAAATCGAAAAAGTAAAAAAAAATAATAATAAATCTAAAAATAAATAAATAAGCTTAACCCGCTGTTTTTGACTTATTTTTGTTTTTATGAATTTATTTTCGAAATTTTTTTTAAAAATTTACTTTTTTTGGTTCATCTCTTTGAGCTAAATCTAGAAGCTTAAACTTTTTTGAAAAAAAAAATCATTAATGACAAAAATAAGCTCAAAAAACAAAAAAAATACCAATAAAACCCCAAACATTCAGTGATTTATTTTCAATCAATCATGAGGGAAAAAAATCCATATTGTTGTTATTATGGAATGAGCATTGCTAATTGTTATTCAAGACTAAAAATTAGACCCAATTTTTAAGTTTATTGATATGACAATCGATTAGGATATTAAATGTAACACTCTCACTCTATCTCATATATTTACTAATCAACAACCAATCATATCACTAACACATCATTGAGTCCACGAAATAAGTTTAAAACGTGGATTTATATATCATTTTCTTTTTGGAATATAATCAAACTTTTTCAAAAATCATATTCTTGCTATCCAAAGTTCAAAAAACCAATCCCTGGTTCAACAGACTCTGAAGTCACAAATGACCATTAATTAAAAAGTTGTAATGAATGCACATAAGAACTCATACTTGTATATAAACAGTGTCATGACATTATTCAATGAATCAATAGTACATTTATTCTGCATAGAATGTGCAGTCAAAATAATAATATAAAAAAAATACATATACAGGTACTTGGGAGGAGCAATCGACTCTGCTACACCTAGTAAGCAAGGAATTTAGCATCATTCACTACGCTCCTGCCAATTAATATTCACTCGAGGATGGTGTGGTGGACTTCAACATAGTTTAAGTTACTGGTGAGCTGAGCTCCAATGTACAAGGGAATAAACTCACTCAAGTAACCATGTAATTACAAACAATTCAGAATCATGGTGATATTTTCTCCCCCAGGAAAAAAGATGGGAAAGGGTAAACAAAATAAAGGAAAAGAAAAACCAAGATCAATTTTGACTTTTCAGTTCGTATCTTGCGTTTTTACCTCTCTAATTCTTGTTTACAAAGAGGACAGCAAGATGTGATAGTAAGCCATTGATCCACGCAATTCATATGAAATATATGTGAGCATGGCAGCTGCCTGATTTCTTCCTTTTCTCTATACTTGGATAGACAAATGCAGCACTCCTGTCAATACCACCATCAAGAAAATGTTAGAATCTTGCTTAAGAAGGGTCCATTCGCCCATTGATTTTGTTTTGTAGAAAAAAACTAATTGGTCGTTGATCTGTCTGATTAGGCATGTCAGTGATTCCATCTAAGTGTGTGTTAGTGATCAGTTCATAGTATTAATTGCATCTTAACTACATAATAGTTTGTGTAGGATAAGAATGAAAGATGGTGATAAGGGCTATCGGTTGGTCAAACTTTTGAGAATTAACACACTATATAAGATGGCTATGTCCCTACTATCACACGAATGCTCCTACTCAATCCAAGTGCATACGGTTGTGAACAGAGAAACCTCCATGTTCATCATCTTCATCAAAAGTTACAAAGCAACCTCCATGGCTTAAGGTTTTGAAATCAACATTGTAAAGTACCCAAAACAATTATACATTTGATTTATGCTACAAACTTGCACCAGGTTTGTTTCTAGGGATTTCTAGAATGTTGAACTCAAACAAACAGAAAATACAAGAAAGCCATTACCCAAAAATGAAGATTGGTCAGATTTTTATTATTTATTTTTTCCTGCTCAGGGCAAGAAAAACCTAGGAGACATCTACTGATTGACTGATTTAGATGTTGTAAATAGAAACTTACTGGAGTTTCATTATTATTGGCTGATTTTCCATGCTCCAAATTGGTGTCAAAGTCTTTAAATCTCCAGCTGGGTAGATTGGAAATTTGATCATCAGAAGCCCCTCGATCAGTGGATCCCATGTTCATATTGTAGCCGAGGAGGCTGCTAATAAGCGGCACACAACAACACAGCACTTGCTGTATCAACAGGAATGGGAAAGAGTAGCTGACAGCATTCCAAGCAAGCAGAGTGATGCAGAGGACGTGGAGCTTTGGAGCTCGACGGAAAGATCCTAAGCGAGAATCAAAGACCCAAACATTACCCATGACAAACCATATGGCAAAGAATAGATCCAGAGATGTCCGGCATTTGGTCATCAAATGCAAGCTCCTGATAACAGTATTTGTCCTTGTCAATTACAAAACATGGAAACAAGTAAAGAGACTAAGTAATGTTGTGTGTATCATTTCAACTATGACTGAAGATGAAAAGACTAACACAGAATTTTCTGTTTATTTATTTCAATTCTTATCAATTTCAGCTATGTATACAGTAATATGACTAAGGACTACAATTCCTTATGTGATATAAAAGGGAAAAGAATTAAAATTGCTTGTGCATGTTATGGGTGCTTCTATTTTTAGCAAACTTTCCCAAAAATAGTTTGCCATATTAGTTTTCGTTTTTTTTCTATTTTCGAGGATAGAAAATGAAAATTATACCAAATGTGCAATTTTCTGAAAAATGCTTATTCATTTTCCTAGTCTAAACCATACACAAGCCAATAATTCTCTCTTACCTTTTCTTTTCCCTTTCTTTTCCTTTTTTATTTCCTTACCCTAAAAAAAATCCTAGTACCAAACAAAGGGCTTCAAAACCAGAAAGTTTGTAGCTTTTATCGCATCTTCAAATTAATGATTCTTGCAACATGATGATTTCTTGAATTGTCTACAGAAATCTAAAATAGCTCTTTTGCAGCATTTTCTTTTCATCCTCTTCCCAAATTACTCTAGCAACCAAGATATCACTACAATTATAGCTCCTGGAAATCATATGATACTGATAGTTTATTATAAATAATTATATTATTTTGAGGGACTCGAGCAAATAAAATATATACCTGGATTCTTCATTGTTCCTCTGCTGTTCTAAATCAGAGTGGTTGAAAGAACCATCTCCTTGACCCCCATGAAAAAAACGATACCGCCCGTAGAGTACCAACAGACTAAGGACACAACCAAAATCATAACCAGAAATCCATATTCTCATGGGCCAAACCGGCTTCTCTGCCTTGGAAACAGCCAGAGTATAAGTTGTGACGATAATTTGAACAATCAAAGTTATTAATTCTACCACCATCCAAGAACCAGTATTAAATGGATTGGACCCAAGATCAGACCTTGATCCATTTTGGTAATGAAACACCCTTCTCAGGAAGGTGAACCACCTTGCTCTAGATATCCTCATTGCTGTTCTCACCAAGAACGAAGAAGGGGAAACGCGTGTGGACCTGTTTCGGGAATTGATAGCTATTCGATCTTCTCCGGCTGGAGAAACCGATGAAAATGAAACTGCTATCCCAGAAGTGCACAACACGTCCGGTGCAAATAAGTAGCGAGTATTCATTGCGAAGCAATAAATATAAATCCTACCCGGACCCAAAATGTTTTGGACCTCAATCTATCATGAACAAGAGTCCAATGCAAATTCACTTGTTGAAGCGTGACTAAACTCTCCAAACTCTCACCTTCTAATATAGTCAATGAAACTTCATGGGCAGCACATTAGCTGTACCAATTCAGAACTAAGAAAACCCACAACCCAGTTCTTTCAAATCTTCAGTCTTTTAAGAAATTTTCTTCACTGGGTATGCAGAACTTGATTGGCTACTCAAAAAATTTCAATGACACCAAAACTCAAACACTTGGAGGGCATTAAAGTTTCCATATCAACACAGCCCAAAGCAATAAAAAAAAAAAAAAAAACTTAGACTTGAGGGTATTGGGAGGCCATGTAAGGACTTTCAAAATGAAATGCAATACATGGAAGTGAAGAAGATCACTTGTAAATAAAGGGATAAGGCAACAGAAACAGAAGGGCAATTGAGGAAGGTGAAGTTTTGGGTTGGGATGGTGACCAAGAATCGAACAGACTTGCTTTGATTCCAAGGGAATCGGAGGTGAACGTTAACGGTTGGCCTAACTTCTCTCCGGAGTTTTGTGTGTTTAGTAAGCAAAGCCTGAGCGAGCCGTTGGTTTTGCGAGTAATGAAATATTAGGACAAAAGCAAAGATATATATTATTTTTTTGTAACTTAAAATACTCTTCTTTTTTTTTTCAGCTTTCAAGTGTCCGAACTAACTTATACTTATTTTGATTAATTTTCTCTTAATCCGGTCAAAAGTAGATCGTTTATTTCGTCATATACAAATTAACTCATTAATTTAAATAATATATTAAAATTTTATTTTAATTTTAATAAAAAAATATTTTGATTTCTGGTGGGCATGATGGTTGTATTGTGAAGTAAAAGCTTATAATTTGGCCACCAAATCCAATCCAACCACTAACCAGTTGCTAGTTTGTATGTAATTATGTTGAGAGTAGATTGTATGTAAAGAGTAGCTTGGCCCCTGGTTACTTTTGATAATGGTAAATTTATTTAGAACACAGATTTAATTAACTTACGTAAAAATATTAAGTATTAAATTCTGAATTCAAAATATGACCTGAAAAAATAACTTAATAACTTAAATTTAAGAGAGAAAAAAATTGAACAACTTATTAAAAAAATTGTTTTTAAATGACATTTGTTTGGTAAATAACTCGGTCATGATTTTTTTATGCAGTCAACTTGTCAAGAAGATAGTTGGTTCATGCATTATTAGCTTGTTTTGTTATGAGAAGCAAATCATAATCATATGATGACTACACTTAAAAGATCAACTTGCAACTATATATAATTACATGCTTGGATTATTTTTTACTTTTTATGCTGATTAATTTGATAATTATAATCATTCATTGCATACGTTAAAAAACCATACCACACTAATTAATTTATAAGATTACTTTTAGAAGGTGTCGGTAACTAAGATGAATTCGTTAACATTTATATTTGCAAAATTTCTAATTGACACCACGAGGGCACTGATATTAAAGTTATCAACTCTTTCTTCAAAACTGAATAGTTAATACTATAAATACTGACTACTATTTGATGAGTCACATCCTAGTGAAATTCCACTAGTCATATTATTATGTATAATTTAATTTATTTTTTCTTATATTATTTAAATAAAATAAAAAACATTGTGAGGAGCCATGTCATATTCGAAAATGATTGGGACAGAAATACATGCAACAAACAACATCTATTTCACTTCAAATGTGATGAGAGCTTGACATTCTATCTTGCATTACGTTAAAATCACGAGGGAGGGAGGGAATTGTCTATATGTCACAACATTTATATGGTCACTATGGTGAGAAAGGAGTTTTTAATTTGTATGTGTCAACTTTAGTATGACATACAACAATATTAATGATTGCATGCCATTGGTTTATTCTATACAAATAAATTAAATATATATATATACATCACATAATATCGTTGTTGTTAATCAATCTCAATTAGGATGGGTTGTCACCCTCATCACAACCTTTTCAAAAATAAATTGTGATTACTCTTAAGAAAATGATAATTTGAGAATAGATAAAAATACATAAGACTTGAGTTAAAATGTAATTTTAAAATAATAAGATATAAGTTTAGTTTAAAATTTTAACTAGAATCGATAAATAGCAAATTATTTAAGTTCAACTCCAAATTTAATAAAATTTAAAATGTATTAAAAATTAACTTATTATTTAAATAACTATTTAATCTCAAAATAAAATTTTAATGAGTAGAATGGAGTTTGTTTGGTTTCATTTTACATCCATTTTGCAAGAGTTATGGGCCTTTTGCAGAGATGAGTTTTGAAAATATGGGCTGTGGGCTGGCGTCGCCATGGGCTGCAGCCTGCTAGCATTATTTTCTAAACTTTAATCGTCCTGGACCGAGTCATCAAATCCTTGTGAATTCATGTTGGAATGTTTATTAGTTTAACAAAATTATAAATTCAGGCTTATGAATTCATAGTTTATTTTAAACAATAAATTTATGGTTCAAATTTATTGTATTCATAGATCTCACATTTTATTAATTTAATTTCCACCACACAAAATACATTCGGAGTAAATGGTGGATTGATAACGATGGATTCATAATATTTTTGTTATTGGTTGGGTTAATTACACAATACTAACTCCAAGGGTTTAGTGGGATAGGACTTAGGGGTTAACTCATCCACCATCTCAACTTCGACTTTATTTATCTTATTTATGAATTAGTATACATTAATTTTTGTAATTATAAAAATGTATCATTTTTACCTTTCTAATCATTAATTAAATATATTTTTGTGCTGTTTTAAATATGTGTATTTTTTTTTCTTAAAACAAAATTAAACACAATTTTTTATAAATAAAATGTAAACCATATTTAGAGAAATAAAAATTACCTCATAATTAGACCGAATTGAACAATAAATTATTGGGGCATTTACACACAAGTCCTAATTTATGAATCTATATTCCATCAAGTCCTAACTAAGATTTTTTAGGCATTCAAGTTCTATTAAATTTTTAATAGTCGGAATTACCCTTCAAATAATGATTGTTTATCATTTATGATTATATATAAAGGAATATGATGATTTGACATTTATTTTGATTTTCAAAACTTTAAAATATCAATATTCAAATTGAAAAAACTAAAAACAATTATGTGTAAAAAAAAAAAAGAACTAATTTTTTTTTTTTTCAAAAGGTTGAATTTTGTTTTTTTTTTTTTGCAGAACTGAAAATTTTGTGTCTATAAATGAGCATGCCGATGGAACATTGATGTGTAAAATGTTTTAAAATTGGAAAAAACTGATAATGTTCTTGATTTTATTGTATAGTTGAACCAAACCAATAAATAGAATGACAAAAACTTTTAATCTCGTGCTCTGTTTTTTTCTCAGTTAGTGAAACAATTATCTGAAACATTGTTATGCAAAATTGATAATGTTCTTAATTTTAAAAATTAAGAAAAACTGATAATAATCTCAATTTTATTAAATAAGACTTATTGATTCCAAAAATATTAGATAAGATCACTTAGTTACCATAATATTTGTAAATATAATTTTTAAGTAATTAATTCTAAATTATATTTTGACTACCCATTAGGTTCTCGAAAGTCAATACCCATTTTGAAGAGAAATTTGAGAAATATATAATAAAAAAATATAAAGGAAGTGTATGAAGTAAAAGATAATCCCTCTAACTTTATTTTTATTTTCATCCTATATTTTATTTTTTCTTTTTCGTGTTAGATAAAAAAATCCAGACAATCCAAATAACAACCGACCCGGTACTGTGTAATGGGTCGACCTTATTTCCCCTATAAATAACAACAGCAGGGCTAGGGATCCGATCTTTTCGGTTCAATCGTTCGAGAGAAAACGCTCATACCCAGGTATGCGTCTCTCTCTCGCTCTCTCTCGATTGTATGATATATATTTGTATAAATTACTGATTATTGATTGATTGATGTATAATTGTATATATGATCTTAATGTCGTCTTAGATTACTTGTTGCATCGATCTGTCCTGGCATACGTATTTCCAATTTCGCCTTCTCTATAATAATTTTTTTAGGGTTTTGATAAATTTTTTTTTTCCGATTGTATAAGAATTGGCCATAAGGATTGTGTTTAGCTTCTTGTAATTTATAGATTTGGGAATAATGAATGCGAAAATAGCATTTGTGGCTTGATTTGTTTATTATGAAGTTCCGAGTTCTATCTAGATTCCCTATGTTGTAGTAATCAATCTTAGGAACGTTTTGGGTCTTTGTTAACGGAGAAGCTGATTGAAAATTTTCTTACAATTATATGTTATTCCATTTTTGTTGATTTTTTTAAATATATTGTTTATATGAGTATGCTCTCACGGTTTGCTTCTTTTGATCAGATTGTTGAACCACTGATGTTTATCTAGGCTTGTTTTCCAGTTTGTTGGACACTGCATAGATTAAAAAACATTTGAAATAATCACAGATTTTGACAAACTAACACCATGACATTATTAAACACTATCACATGATTATTTATTATTTATTTTTTACTTTTTATTTTGGTAATGCTAGACCAAATTGAAAGGATTCTGGAGTTTAACATGGAGGGAGAGTTGGTGTTGGGTGGATAAGTAATTTGATGCTTTATTGCTTTGCTGTTTGTTTTGGTACTGCAGTGATGTCTTATTTTTGGCCTTTCCTATTGCTTGTAGAGGTTTTATTGAAATGGAATTTTTAATATACCTGCCTCTTTTTTTTCAGATATTGTGAGGGATATTTATAAAACATGACAACTGCAGCTCGACCCACATGGGCACCTGCAAAAGGTGGTAATGAACAAGGTGGTACTCGAATTTTTGGCCCCTCGCAAAAGTACTCTTCAAGGGATATTGCATCTCACACAACTCTGAAACCCAGGTTGGCCTTCTGTGCTTGATGTTTTGTATTCATATTTTTGTTACTTATTTTAGGTTTATAACCCTTCTGAGGTTTTTTGTTCCACAATATGAGGATTCTTGAACATCGGTATAAATGGATACCCAATTTCAAGTCACGGCATCATAGATATTTTCATTCGAGGATCGATGAAACCTTATTCCATTGCAATTTGCAGTATAAAAGGATATACACGGACTTTAAAAAAAAAAAATTAAAAAATGTTAGTATGTTAACGGTGTCAACAGAAAAGGTAAAATTACCACAGTTCATGTGTAATTTAGATTCCCCCATCACACCCTCAGGTTCTTGAATCCACAATGATCTCATGTCAGAATTTGTTTGTTAATTGTGTTAATAGAAAATGTAAAATTACCTTGTTACAACCCTTGTTATCTAAAATATTATTTAAATTTAGAAATTAGTTTTATTAATAAAATCTTCCTCACTCCCTCTTGTCATCCAACCCATTGAATCTCTCTCCATCCCTTCCAGCCCTACCACGAAAAACCACTCCACACTACAGCTCTCTCTTTTTTTCACCCCACCTCAAAACTGCAGTTTCACATCCCCCAACCATTCTCTCTATCAATCTTGTGCACTACTCCAACGTGCTCCAATCAATCTCCTCTCTCTCTCTCTCTCTCTCTCTCTCTCTCTCTCTCTCTCTCATCTGTATGATATGTATAAAAGGTATGGAGAAATGGTTTGGAAATACTCTTCTGATCCTGGGGAGAGCTCGTGATCCGCTGATAGTCACCTAAAAAGGAATAAACACTCTGATCGGGGGTGCCGGAATTAGCACTCCGACGGACAAGTCAGTCTTTACACTCAAGAATGCTTGTATTCTAAGTTAAGCACAACAATTCTCACATACCTCTCTTATTCTGTTGCTCCTTTATTTATACTTGTTCCCCTTGGCCTCAGGGCCAGGCCCACTCTTCACTCATCATCCTCTTATATCTATTCGACCTATCTGTATTATTCGGCATTCTGATCGTGCAGGATAGAGCCGTGTAGTATCTGTCTTTCAGAGTACGCTTCCGACTCTTCCAATTATTCGGCTCCCACAATTGCCTCCCAAACACCCCACTAGCATCAGTTAGACGGCGTGTTTGGCTTCTAGTCTGGGCAGTCAAAAATTTGGCGATTAACCCTCTTCCCGATGCGCGTCAAAACGCGTACATAGTTTTTGGTCACTGCAACATTTTCCCGCCTCATTCGTGCTTCTCTCGCATTTATTACGATTTGAAATTTCAGTCCCTTCGAATGCATGCTTTTTCGAATATTTAAACCTCCTGGATTGCAAGTCGGTGTCTCTCCTCCAACGCGTTTTCTGCGACTCCTCTCCGTCTTCTCCTTTGCCTTTCGTAAGTTTTCCTCTCTTCTCTTTGCAACCTTATTTTTCATATTTATCTTTGATTTTAGAATATCCTTGGGTCCTTACCAGAATGGCTAAGCATTTGAAAGACTTCCTTTCTGAGGGTCCAATTTCTGGGTTCTGAAGACATTTCTCTATCCCCGATGATGTTCATCTATCTCTAGTAACGGGCAATACCCTTGATATGGAGAGGGACGACCAAAATACAATCGTCTTTCCTCTCCTATTCATTGCGGAGGGTGGAGTTCGCTTTCCCCTACACCCATTTCTTAGGGTCGTCCTCCGCTATTGGGGTTTGATTCCTTCGCAACCCAATGTGAATTTTTTTCGAATTGTAATGGGAATCGTAGAGTTGAACCGGCGTCTCGGGATCAATCTTGGCATTCTGGCGATTCGGCTCTGCTACGCTTTAGCCAAATCCTCCGGTCGGCTCGGGCGTTATTTTCTCAGGGCTAAGGACACCGACCATCACTTGGTAACGATGCTTGCCAGCTCTGGCAAGCGAATTGATGATGTAATGGTCAATGTCCGAGGCAACTGGGAATTCGGTGAAGGCGAAGATCGCCTAGACCCTATTCCCAAACGGAGGGGTGAACCAGGTTACCGTATAACTCATTGTTTGTTGATCTTTCTTTTATTCGACTTTTTCTTGAAGTCTAACCCTTTGTTTTTACAGGCAATAAGTTGAAGAGGATTCTGACCTCGGCTAACGACGAAGTTCTTGCGGAAATTAAGACTGCACTAAAGTACTTCAGCCGTCCAAACGTACATAAGCAAGGGAGGGCCGCCCATATTCTCCTGCGGTACGAGCCTACCTATACTACATTCTCGGCCGCGGACGACATTCCGATCCCAACCGGCGAACAACACTTCACAGTTTTTGTCTTCCCCAGCTTCAAGACCGTCAAGCAAATTGGTCTTGAAGCTTCTGATTCGGAGCAAGACTTAGAGCCGGTGGTTGAAGTAGTTGCCGAATCAATGAAGGTGTTCGCTGCGGAGGCCGAAGAGGTTGACGAAGCTCTGAAATCAGCGTTTGCGGCAGCTGGTCTTAACTAGCCTAACTCTCCGTCCACTTCAGGTCGGGCGGAGTTTTCTTTCGGAGATATTTTTACAAACTTGGGAGATCTACCCAGAGTTTTTTCTGAAGGCATGGCTGGAGAAAATCTCACGCAGATGGCGAGAAAAAGAAATGTCGAGCGAATGGCAGCCCGAAAGAAAGTCGAGGCCACTCGTTCTGAGCCTGCCCCGGTTGAATCTTTACAACCGGTTACTGGAGAAAAAACGGCTCAAGTTGTTGTGGCTGAGATAGAGGGGACTGAACAGCAGGTTACGGAAGAACGGCTGGTTTCAAAAGAGTAAGGCGAAAAACGTTCCACCAAGGGAGAGGTCGACTCAGAGGATAGCCCTGCTGACAAACGGCCTCGCTTAGAGGAATCCAACGTGGTTGTCCCTTTCGTTGTTCAACCAAATATCAAAGACATGCCAATCTCCTCTGACGCATCTGCCATGAAGGATCCAACCATGGCGTTGAGGTTGGCCGACTCAGTTTCGTTACCGGCTGACAAGGCCACCTTTCGAGAAGAGCCGGATTTGGTAACTATAGCGTTCGCTGCCCAGTCGGCCCTTCTGGTATGTATACGAAACTTTCTTTTTTGCTCGTTTGGTTTGGTTTGCATACGATATTGCTTGGTGTGGTGATTCAAACTTGTTTTGCAGACGGTTGGAAGGATAGTTGAACTAGGCCACCGGCAGCGTGATGCCATTGAAAGAATTGGCCGCTTAAAGTTTGAAGTTGAAGGTGAAAGAAGTAGGGCCAAGTTCGAGGCGATGAGAGCTGCAATGGAAAGTGCTCGAGCCGAAGCTGAAAAGGAGAGGGCTCGGATTGCTGACTAACTCAGATCCGAAGCCGAGGATAGGGCGAACGCGAGCGAGAAGTCTCTCAAGTTAGCCCAAGAGGCGCTTTCCAAGGCAGAGGCCGAGTTAGAAGATTTGAAGGCGGCCAAGGAAAAAGCCAAATCTGAAGCTTCCAAGGCGCTAGAGGCTGGGAAGAGCGCCGCCTTGAAGGAATACGTAGATGAAGTCCCCAAATTCGAGAATCGGGGATTCAAACATGGGTGGCTCAAAGCCCTTGCTGCCGCTGGAGTTACATTGGCCTTGCCAATTCCATACGAGCAAGTGGACGTTGAGCCACTTGAGTCTGATCCCGAGGATTGATCTGGGAGACATTCTAGTTTTATTAGGTATCTTCAATTTCAATGTACGTTTTTGTTTAGTGGATTCTTGTTAGTTCAAGGTAATTTTCATGTATAAATTAGTTACTATCTGCGCTCAATTTATTAATGAAAATTTCCTTCCCGTTTCACTATTACTTATACGCAACTTTTGATATTAATGAAGAGTTTTGCCTTCCACTACTTTGGATAAAATGATTATTGTCCGTTGTGCCTTCTAACTATCAATTGAATAGCAATGTAATCTTGGCAATTATATTAGTTAAACTTTAATTTATTCGAACAAGTAAATCCACTCTTGGTGCCGAATAGGACTAGTAAATCGATTCGTGAAGCGGCTACGGCACTCAAGCCGAATAGATTGATGAATCCGTCCTTGCCCCAGTTGGTTCATGAACATTAAACGCTGAATCAGACAATATTGATGAGTCGATTCGTGAAGCGGCTGCGGCACTCAAGCCAAATAGATAGATTAATCCGCCCTTGCCCCAACTGGTTCATGAACATTAAACGCCGAATCAGACAATATTGATGAGTCGATTCTTGAAGCGGCTGCGGCACTCAGGCTGAATAGATTGATGAATCTGCCATTGCCCCAGCTGGTTCATGAACATTAAACGCTGAATCAAACAATATTGATGAGTCAATTCGTGAAGAGGCTGCGGTACTCAAGTTGAATAGATAGATGAATCCGCCCATGCCCCAGCTGGTTCATAAACATTAAACGCCGAATCAGACAATATTGATGAGTCGATTCTTGAAGCGGCTGCGGCACTCAGGCCGAATAGATTGATGAATCTGCCTTTGTCCCAGCTGGTTCATGAACATTAAACGCCGAATAAACAATATTGATGAGTTGATTCGTGAAATGGTTACGGCACTCAAGCCGAATAGATTGATGAATCTGCCATTGTCCCAGTTGGTTCATGAATTTGCCCTTGCGGAAGTTAAGGCTGCCGAATAACAGGGTTTGATGGGGGCACGACTCGGTCGGCGCCGGACTGTTGGGGTTACGATATTAATGAGATTGCCTCGGTGGCGCTGCCCTTGTAGGGAATAAATGAATGAAGGCTCTATCTATGTGCTCAGTGAGCAACTCAGTCCAGGTCTTTGATGAAGAATAAACACGTGCGAATGTCGAATAGACTCTTCTTTAACAACAAAGGAAAAGCGAGGACGCTAGCTGAGCTGGGCGGAGACATGAATCGAAGTGGCGAACCTTCGCGCACGAGAGGTAGGATTTCGAGGGATTGGGAGAGACGTAAATCTCCTCGTCGTCGAAGTAGGTCACCTAGGAGGGACAAGAGCCACAGGGCAACTCCCTGCAACCTCGTTCTAGAAGGGAGCCTGGTGCGAACCCATGCCCATTGAGTTTTGCGGTCTTCATGGGGAATAGACCCATGACAGATGCGGACTCGATCGTTCGAGATTCAAGTGTGGCAGTCGAATTTGCTCGACAGATTTTTCCTCCCGAGGTCCAGCAGTCGATGGTAGGTCGGCAGGACTTCGAAGTGTTTCGTGAAGGCATTCACGGTGCGGTGAAGGGGCTCTACACCTCTTACGAAATCGGCATGCTTCTCCGTGCTGCCTGCCGAGAAATAGAGAAGAGGGATGAACGCATCCGAAGCTTGGAGGCTCGTGCGGAGGCGGTTGAGCGTGAGCTGAGGAAGGTCAAGGCCGTTTAGGCACAACCCGTTGGACAGGCTAACCCAATCGTGGAAGAAAGGGTCACCCAATTGCTTATCAGTACCGTGCTCGCCGATCGCGATACGGCAAGCATGTTCGTGATGCAATCCGCGAAGGGGAGGGCCTATGAAAAAGGCTTCCATGAAGGCTGGAAAGTAGGGATACAGAAGACCAAGGAAAAGCTCGCCGAGGAAGTTTGCCGATGCGAAAATCGTGGATTTAAGCATGGTTGGATCAAGGTGCTTCAGGCCGAAGAAGCTCTCCGAGCAACGGGTGTCGACTCGGCATTGCCACTGTACCAACGTAACCATTTTCCGTTTTTCGCCTTTGAAGTCGAGCAGAGTGAGGATGAGGGCGACGTCGTGTAAAAACACTCAATGTAACGTTCGAGCGCATATCGCGTTCATAACTATGCAATTATTGCCTGATTGAATAAAATGTTTCATTGTAATTTGCATTCAGCACACACGTGTTTGCATGTGTTTCATTGTATAAACATTGACCGGCCCGAGTCAACTAGGCATTTTAATTCCGAATGGTTATATGCCGGTTTGTCATGAGCATTCTTCATTAAATATATATTTGGCATGTGTCGCGCACGGTCCATTGCGCCGATGAGGCTCTGAATTCGGAGGCTTAACCAGCCAAAAGGTGTAATGCACTAGGGGTTCCGAATCCGGAGACAGTCAGCCCATCTATAATTGCCGTTTATATAATTAGGTCATTTTAACTCCAAAAAAGTCAAAAATTAGTACATGGAGTGGCTGTGGCCAATATCGCTCGGCGTCCGTCTTTTGGGGTTGTGTTAATGAAATCACCCCAGGGTCGTTGCAAGGATTTAGAAATAAATTGCCTCGGACTTTTCGCTCTAGTAATTTCGCTTACTGTGTTCAAACTCGATTTAAAACGATTTTTTTCGTGGGGTTAGATAAGTGTGAATGTCAAATGGAGTTTTCTTCAGTAGCGGGGAAGAAACTTGGACTTTGGCTGAGCTTGACATTGCAATGAATCGCAGCAGAGAACCCACTCGCGCGTTCAAAAAACGGGAAAAACGTCAGCCTCTAAGTCGTTGAAGCAGATCGACCCAAAGGGAGAAACAACAATAGGGGAGTTCTCTGCAACCGCCACCGAGAGATGAGGCCGACGTAGTGTCGCAACCGTTGAGTATTACTATTTTCGTGGGGAATTCCTTTCTTGTCTTGGATCTTGGCCTTAACGTTGTCTATGGTGTCGAAGCTCTCCACCTCGAGAGTGATTGTCTCGCTGATGTGAACATCGTGGATTCAAGCATGGTCAAATCAAGGCATTTCAAGTTGCGGATGCTATCCGATCAATAGGCGTTGATTCGGCGTTGCTGCTGTACCAATGCGACGCCGTATGAGAATAGATATTGTAATGCTTCGAACGTGGATTGCGTTTTTGTAATTACTGTTTAATCGAATAAAATGTTTTATTTTAAAAGTTTATCTCATTCTAAATTTTTATATGCTTAATTAAGCATCTTATTTTGAATGCTGGCACGTTTTGTCTTATTCATGCGGTTGTACTGGCTCAACCTACATATCCCTGCCTTGATGTGTAAATGTTTTCATTCTAGGGGGCGTTCCGAATTCGGAATATTAATCGGCCCTTGAGGGTCGCCCGGTGGCACTATCTGGTTAGCCGAATTCTGAAGCTTTATCGGCCAAAGACGTCTTGTGCCGATGAAGCTCCGAATTTGGAGGGTTTTTCGGCCCAAAGGCGTCATGCGCCGATGGGGCTCCGAATTCGGAGACTTATTTTGGCCAATCGTGATATCCACAAAGGGCACTCCGAATCCGAAGGCTTAATCGGCCCAAAGACGTCATGCGTCGAGAGGGTTTCAAACCCGGAGACTTATTTTGGCCAATCGTGATAGCCACGAAGGGCGCTCCGAATTCGAAGGCTTAATCGGCCCAAAGACGTCATGCGCCGATGGGGCTCTGAATCCGGGGTCTTTTTCGACCAAAAGACGTCATGCGCCGATGAGGCTCCAAAGCTGGAGTCTTTTGGGCCAAAGACGTCATGCGTCGATGGCGCTCCGAATCCGGAGTCTTTTTAGCCAATCGTGATATTCACGAAGGGTGCTCCGAATCCGGAGGCTTAATCGGCCCAAAGACGTCATGTGCCGATGGGGCTCTGAATACGGAGACTTATTTTGGCCAATCGTGATATCCATGAAGGGCGCTCCGAATCCGAAGGTTTAATCGGCCCAAAGACGTCATGCGTCGATGGGGCTTCAAATCCAGAAACTTTTTGGCCAATCGTGATATTCACGAGGGGCGTTCTGAATCCGGAGGCTTAATCGGCCCAAAGACGTCATGCGCCGATAGGGCTCCGAATCCAGAGACTTAGTTTGGTCAATCGTAATATCCACGAAAGGCGCTTCGAATCTGGAGGCTTTTTTGGCCCAAAGACGTCATGCGCCGATGGGGCTCCAAAGCCGGAGACTTTTTGGCCAATCGTGATATCCACGAAGGGCGCTCCGAATTCGGAGGCTTAATTGGCCTAAAGACGTCATGCGTCGATGGGGCTCTGAATCCAGAGACTTAGTTTGGTCAATCGTGATATCCACGAAGGGCGCTCCAAATTCGGAGGCTTTTTCGGCCCAAAGACGTCATGCGCCGATGGAGCCCCGAATCCGGAGACTTTTTGGCCAATCATGATATCCACGAAGGGCACTTTGAATTCAGAGGCTTAATCGGCCCAAAGACGTCATGTGCCAATGGGGCTCCGAATCCTGAGACTTAGTTTGGCCAATTGTGATATCCACAAAGAGTGCTTCAGGAGCAATGCTGCGTACCTAATTTTCCATCAACCGGTCTCCTATCATCCGAAAATACATTCAGGAGCAACTTTCCCGGCGTGTAGCGGTGCGGCTGAACGCGTTGATCATATGTCCTGGCAAGCTGCCGCTGGTATCGCCTAGAGCTTCTGTGGCTTTTCGCTAGGGAGCCGTCCGACGTCATCGAGGCTGTTTCGATTCGGCACTTCAGTGGAGTTGACCTGTGACTCCGTTGGTGTCTTTCCAGAAAGGAGATAACATGCTTGTGCAGATTGTCGGGAACCACGGATCTGCTCAATGCCGTGTTCGATTTGGAAACGTAGCAGCTAATGATAGGTGCTTGGCACGACCTGAATACGATGCAACCAAGTTCGCCCCATGATGAGATTATACGGCAAAGGGAGCTTGACGACCTAGAATTCCACATCCACTGTTTGGGAGCCCGCTCGAACGGGAAGTGTGATTTTTCCCAACGGGTACTCTAGATTTGCGTTGAAGTCGAATAATAGATGAGGAGCCGGAGATAGGTCTGATTTGTTGAAGCCGAGTTTGATGAAGGTCTCGTAATACATAACCTCCAAAGTGCTTCCCTGGTCTATGAGGACGCATTCAACGATAAATCGGTTTACGTGTAGTTCAATGACCAATGGATCAATATGGGGGAGTGTTATGCCGATAAAATCGGAATCGTCGAAGATAATACTCGGAGCTTCGTGGGACTGTTTCGTTGGTGTACGTTGCCTCTGGGGGGCTAACTGAATTGCGTGTACGGTACGTGGCGTTAGAAGGCTGTATATCATATAAATAATGTCGAGCGGAGGTGAGTCCTGTCGAAGGGCAACTGTTTTGATTGCGCTCTTTCGGACATGTAGCTGGAGCCGACCATCTTGGACCAATTCCTCAATGTGGTCTTTCAACGCATAGCAACTGTCCGTATCATGACCGTGATCTTTGTGATATTCACGCCACCTGTCCCGCCTTCTCGTGTCAGGGGGTCCAACCATTTTGGACGGCCATTTGAAGAACAGAAGATGTTGGATTTTGGACATAACCGAGCTGATTGGCTCTGACAACTCCTTATATTTCTTGTCGGCACGCTTTGTGCATCTGCTATCGACCTGCAGTTGCTCATTTGCTCAGTGTGAGCATTAATCGCTTGATCGACGAGAATCCCGTTTCTTGTCTCGTTTAGCTCGTTGTCGTGGTTCAAGACTCTGAGGTGGTATGGAACTTATTGGCTGAGCAATTTCAGGAGGGCCGTTTTGTTGGCCATTTGTCCAGCTTTAACCCGCAAGGCGTCGTCTTCCACTTTGCAGTATTCCTCAACTTTCTTCATCAATGCCCAGATTTTTTTGGGGGGCCTTCTTGTCAGGGAATTGCGGAGGGCACTGTCTGGGTGTAATCCCATTTTGAAGGCGGTGATGGCCATTGAGTCGTTGCAGGCATCATCAACAAGATTAAAGCACTCCCAATATCGTGCCGAATATGCCCTTAGTGTTTCTTCTGGCTGCATCTGCATTGCCTAGAGAGAGTCGGTTTGTTTCGGCTGGACCTCGTTAGTGATGAATCTGGCCCTGAGGGATTTTTGTAATTGGTGGAAAGTTTTAATCGAAGCCGGCTCCAGTTTATAATACCACCTGACAGCCAATGGTCCCAAACTGCTGGGGAATATTGGGCACAATGTTGTGAAACCCGGACCGGACCGGCCGATCGAACCGGTTGGACCGGGAACCGGGCCTGGCTCCGGTCCGGTCAACCCTCCAGAACCGGACTATGAGCAAAACCGGCCTGGAAATTGAAAACCGCCGGAACCGGCGGTTGAACCGGGACAACCGGTGAACCGGACCGGGTTTTGGCGGGTCAGACCGGCAATTTTTTTTTTTAATCTTTTCTTTCTTTCTTTCTTATATATATATATATATATATATATTATAAATATATTTTAAAATTTTGACTAAAAATTCTTAATTCAAGAGTCTCCTCTCATAAGGAAGAGTCTCATTAGAAGTTGGAGAAGATTATGAAAGTCTATTCCTATTTATAGGAAAAAAAATTTCAAAAAGAACCTACAAAATTCTATGTGGGATTCAATCAAATTATTTGAAACATATTGATGGGAGGGAGAGTTGAAAATTTCATTTCCCTCCAAAATTAAACCTAACATTGAATCAATTTGTTTGGAGGGAATGCTTAAAAATTTTAATTTCTTTAAAACAAGTGACTTTCTTTTTATCAATTATGACTTTATTAAATATTATTAATAAATATTATACAACAATTTTTATTTTTATTTGAGTATTTATATATATTTTTATTTATTTATAATTTTTAATTATATTTTTTAATTATATAATATTAATTTGCCCAGAGGGAATCGGTTTGCTTTGGCTGGACCTCATTAGTTATAAACCTTGCCTTGAAGGATTTTTGGAGTTGGTGGAAGCTTTTAATCGAAGTCGGCTCCGGTTTATAATACCACCTGACAGCCAATGGTCCCAAACTGCTGGGGAATATTCGGCACATGAGGGCCTCATCATTTGCATGCAATGTCATGGCTTGCTTGTAGTGGCGGATGTGGTCGGTGGGGTCTGATTTGCCGTCGTACAAGGTGAATGACGGTGCTTTGAATTTCTTGGGTAGCACCGCCATTGCAATCCGTTGTACGAAGGGATCGTGTTGATCTTCGTACGAACTGTGCCTCCTTCGCTTGTGCCTTATACGGGGACTTTCTTCAAAAGAACTGGTAGTTTCAGGTTGCCCCTTCTTCCTGGGCTCCGGGGATAACGAGTCGGAGCCGCTATCAGTGTCGTCTTGTTGGGCTCGAGGTCGTTGACCACTTGCCTTCGGAGATCGATCCGGATTTAGGCGTACAACTTGTTTGGACTTCGCCACTTCCAAGGCCTAATCTTCACGAAGACGTTCGTTCTCCGCGATCATGTTCTCTAACCTTTGTTCGTTTCGTTTCGTTTTGTTTTGCTTTGCTTGTTCCGTGATCGCTTGCATTGCTTCATGCTCTGGAGTTGAGGGTGAGGCGAAGTTCAGAGAGCGTCTTATAGGGATGGTGTCCGGTCCAAGCATGTTTGATGGAGTGAGGTCGTCTCTTTGCGTCGTTTCATCAGTGGCTATTGGAGGGACTTCCGTTGTGCCCGCCATGGATGTGTTTGAATATTTCCACAGACGGCGCCAATTGTGGAGAAATGGTTTGGAAATACTCTTCTGATCCTGGGGGGAGCTCGTGATCCGCTGATAGTCACCTGAAAATGAATAAACACTCCAGTCAAGGGTGCCGGAATTAGCACTCCGACAGACAAGTCAGTCTCTACACTCAAGAATCCTTGTATTCTAAGTTAAGCACAACAATTCTCACATACCTCTCTTATTCTATAGCTCTTTTATTTATACTTATTCCCTTGGCCTCGGGGCCAGGCCCACTTTTCACTCATCATCCTCTTATATCTATTCGGCCTATCTGTGTTATTCGACATTCTAATTGTGCAGGATAGAACCGTGTAGTATCTGTCTTCCAAAGTACGCTTCCGACTCTTCCAATTATCCGGCTCCCACAAAAGGTTATATAACAATATTAATATTTAACCATATCTTTGTGTTTGTGTCCTATTTCAGATTTTCCATATCATGTTGTGTTTTGCAATTTCCACCCCTTAGCCCTTTCCTTGGAACCAGGACATTGTGAATATAATTATTTGGCAAACAATTTCAAGTAAAAGATAAATGTATCTGAATCAGAGAGGTCACATTTTCAGTTTGCCAGAACAAAAGACGAACACAACTGAAATGAGGGGTGGTTCTAAAATTGAATTAGCGCATGAGTTTGCAAAAACTCTCTGGCTGAAACTGATGTAGATATGGGGAGCCCTCTATTTATCGGATAGAAGTGAACACTTTCTGACTTCAAATACTAGTAGGCATTGTGTGTTCTTGGGTGGGGTCTGGTAGTTAGACCGATGAACATTGAATCAAATCAAACCTTCTCTCTCTCTCTTGTAATTCTTTAATATTTACGTGAACATAGTAGTACTTCTATTGCATCTTTGCATTTATGCAAAGCTTTTCTCTTTTCTGATCCCTGTCTAGAGTCACTGATTGATGCCTGTTGATGTAGAAAGGAGGGGCAAGACACCCATGATGAATTGCAGAAGAGGAATCTCCGTGAGGAGTTGGAGGACCGGGAGAGGAGGCATTTCTCGTCAAAGGATAAGTCCTATATTGGTAGAGAATTTTGATCATCCTTCGTATTGGATGTTACTTCCTTTTACTATCTGTTGAACTGTATTTTGTAATTGTTTTATGTAAATTATTTGTGGTTGCAGATGATAGAGATCGTAGAAAAGGAGGCCACCTTCTACTGGAAGGTGAATACTGCTTGCCATTCTACTTTGTGTGCCAAAAAACTAGGTATATATATTATTAATAAACTAATTTTATACTTATTTTACAGGGTCAAGGAGGGATGCTGAAGATCGTCTCATTCCACGCAATGTAGATGCTGACGATGCCGATGTGGAAGTTAAAAATGATGATGAAAGGTTGTCATTCTCAAACTTGCATGTGCTAACAAAAGCTTATACCAATGGCTTGATTTGTAGATTAAATTGTCTGACAATTAAACTTTTGTGATTGTTGATTTATACTTGATTTTTTAAACAAAAATGCTTTAGAGCTCTAATATAGGAGCTCTAATAGCTCTAATGGGAATGTGGGACCTACTCTGATGTGATGTTTGTGCCTTGCCTTGTTTTTTTTTTTTTTTTTATTGCTTGGACACATCACTAGAGCTCAAATTAGAGCTCTAGATTAGAGCTCTCTAGCATCTCCCTTTTTTATAAATCTGTACTAAGAAAAAAATATGGAACCATTTGAAGACATTTATCTTGAAAGGGTTTGGATTTTTGTCACAGTTGGCTGTCCAACTGAGAAAACAGTTGGGCTCTAGTTGGACCCATTTTGGGGCCGATCTTAGTTGATTTGGAACAGTTTCCACTTTAAGACCTCGTTGAGTAGAATATTTATCAAAAAATCAACATAATTAAATATTTGGCAGCTCTA